AAGCTACCCATGCGTAGTTAACTTTTAGCCCCCGACCGAAGAGGCCAGAATATTTAACCTGGTTTGGCTTATAGTACGTGTAAACGCAACACGATCCTGTCTTAAAAAAACCCGGCGTTTCGTCTGAACGGTATATTATTCTCATTAGCAGACCATTTAGACGTTTTCATAGAGCGGTATTAAAAATCTTCAGGAGACCATCATGCATTCCATATTGAAACATCCTAAAGACGAGACAGACCAAAACATTTCTGTCGGCACTTCACAAATGGCGGGGGTCCATAAATTAAAAACATAGGGAGGCAAGTCAAAGATGACTTCCACTCCAAAGTAGAAGTGTAGTGTAAGTAATTGAAACGAGGTATATGTACGAGGTTGGCATGTGCAGGCAGCATTATCTGGAGTGCTGTAAGTACTGTTGCTGTTGTAGTCTATGCCATCTTCTCCTTCAGGGATTTCAAAATGGAAAGCATGATGTTCTCCTGTACATGGGCACCTACCCACACTAAATGTCCGTTTTTGTTTGCTTTGTAATATATATATATATACTACAAAGCAAAAAATATATATAAATATAAATATATATATATATATATATATATATATATATATATATATATATATATAAAAATAATAAAGGTTAAAAATGCCTAAAGAAAGTACTACTATTACGGTTTTTTAAAACTTCATACATCTATTATATAATTATATATAATTATTGTTTAATAAATGCCTGAAGAGCCGCTATCGCGGTGAAAACGTTAGCATAAACATGTAGTTTTATTTTGCCATCCTTAATTTCAATTATATATATATATATAAATATGTGGGGACAACAGATGTAAAACTTGTGACAACATTATTGAAGTACAAGTACATGTACAAGTTAATGGGAATCTAATTTTTTTAAAGTAAATCAATCTATGACCTGTAAAGTAAAAACGTTATATATTTGATAATAAAAACTATATAGGCAAAACTGGATCACAACTCAACATAAGTATAAACCTACATAGATCCCACATTGCTAATACCCAAAATAGAATGATTCCTCTAAGTGAACACTTAAATAGTATAGATATATGTGGAGCGGGAAAATTTAGGGTATTCCCCTTGTATAAAATCAACCGGTCGGATAATAATTTGATAGAAAATTAAATGCTGCATAAATTTATATTGTAATTTGATATTCTAAAATATTTATATTTGATATTATTATTGTCATGTACAATTTCATGACAATAATAATAACGCCCATGGCGTCATGTAATTGTTTACTATCTCATTATTAAATGCCTCATTATCCCCGTAGTGTGTGAAAGCGTTAGCTAAGATGAAATTAGTGTTTTCTTTTTAAGAGTCTCATAGTTTTATATACTTTTACCTGAGAATAGAATCTTTTATTTATTTTATATATATAAAAGATTCTATATATCCAACAAACAACATTATTTAATTGTTTAAACACTGTCTAATATTGTCCGCCACAGGGGCATCATCGGGACATAACAGAAATGAAATGAAATGGGGTTTAACGTCCTACTGTTCTGCTCCTATACTGGGCTAATGAAGACGGGCATACGCCATACAGTGTGCTATGAGGGAAATTTTGCCCGGGCAGCGGCACTATCGCCTACCCTTATATCGAATTCTAACTGCCAAGGGATCTTTTACGTGCATTCCAATGTATACACGGGACCTCGGTTTTTCGTCTCATCCGAAGGACTAGACAGCTGTCGGGACATAATATTTCAATAATTATTAACAATAACGTGATACTAAGCAACGTCGTCATGGCGACGTTATGTATAGTAATCCGGGAGAAGTTAATAGTTAGGTCAATTTCCTTTTGCATTGAATTTTGCTTCGAACACTTTGATGAAACATATTATTGTTGGTATGGTGTGGGTGACATGATTTATAACTGTCTATTGCTTTAATAGACTATAATTTTTTTTAGGCTTTTTTGCTAGATTTATACAAATATTATGGTTCTAACAAAATAATAAATCTTTATGATAGTCATGTCAACGCATAAATGTATACCACGATCTTCTACTAAAACAGATCTTAATAACCGTGGTCTGACCCCTTCAAACATTTACAGGACGTGTGGTAAGATTTCACATATCGTTATCAAGCACTTGTGAAATCTTGTTGAACCGTCGCAGTCAAATAAAGCGTATTAATTGTTATCCATAAATAGTATTTTATAGGAGATAAATCGCTAATAATTGGGACCTTGACACAAATGGGTCACAACGCATATAATAATGTAATTTGAATGTATATAAACTGACTTATATTCAAGCGTTCTCTAATTTCAAATCAGTTTCAATGTGGAAGATTTTTGATGATATCGAGTTAGAGACTTAGCCACTTTAACCAAACCTATCTATTTGGCATGAGGCCCATTCAAATAACGAAACATGTAGTAGAAAGGTTGATGATCAGTGATCATATGAAGATAATCGTTAGTCATTGGTGAAAAGGTGTGTGCTGATATGAAAGCCTATAAATTTGTACACTTCCCTGCCACAACCCACTAAACACAGATGTGATTAAAGGAAAATATTGGTGTCAGTCATTATAAAATATGTGATAGAGCTCGTTAAATACCTCCCAAATATAATTTTAACACAGAGATCATTGCTACGGGAGATGTGTAACAAGCACGTGAAGAAACGGGAAGTGACGTCAAACATGACAAACACGAGTTCTTCTTCTATATAATTGACTGAAGTAACGAGCGGTAACAAACAAATGATCGAATTTAATTTCACTGATAATTCAGTTGAAGATGAAAAGTTGTTATATGAGACGACGAGAGGATATCGGACAATTCAAAAAAAGAATTGGCTGTGTTAAAATGTAATAATGACTGACACCAATGTTGTCCTTTAACTGTAGTCTACAACCCGTTAGGCAAGTCATATTTTGTAACAGAAACCATTTAAAGATACATTGTGGGAGATAAGATAAAGAGCTGACAGTTCTCACTATAATAGTTAAAAACTATAGTGTAAAGGCAATTTGCTGAAAATTGATCCACTATGAACCGAGAATTAAGCGGTCCTCAAAAAAGGACAAACAGCGTGAAAAATTGCATTTGTTTTAAACATTTTCACAATAGATTTTAAGTCAAAATTTGGGTAAAAATTGTTCGATATATACTATTCAAAAAAAGTAGGGGATATTTGATTTTTAAGTGTTATTAAAGTCACCTAATGAAACTGACGAAGAAACAAATGACAAAATGAAATGAAGTTCACATTCATCGATTTATTCCAAATGATAGGGTGGCCCATGTGCTCTACAGAAATAAAGTCCACCGCTGATAGTTCGAGACTACCACTGAAGCGTACACATTCGCCGTGCCGAGACCAACTTTCTGACAGTATGATACTATAAATAGCCATGGCACGTGCAATTCTCTACAAATCTATCAACTATTACAGCCGTAAAAAATTTATTGTTGACGATTTTGAATAGCAGTGAAATTAAGCTTCTTGGTTATTACAGCAGATTTAGAAATTACGTTCGTTTCATTTTTTAAATCGCTTTATCATTAACTGTACCGTTAAGAGCGGCATCTTTTGGTTTAGTACAAATAATATCTCTGAATCACTCGGATTAGACAGGAACATGATACTAGCAGTAGTTTCATTTTACTTTTACAAGGTTCTTAAAACGATTGTTGAGCTACCTAACGTGCTTATTTCTAAATTCAATTTCTTGTTCTAGCTTTCTGTTATGTTTCGTAAAAAAGTAGTCTTGATTATCCCGACCTGTCAATCAGACGTAGAGTGGTCGATAGACTGGTTAAGCGAGACAATTTCAAAACAAGGGCACGTAACCTATCTTTTACTCAAAAGTGTCTGGATGTTATGGACGACACTTGGAACCAGTTTTCAGTCTATTATTTATAGATGATTAATGGTCATAGCTTATTAAGTACAACATGATCGTTTATTTAGTGACTATAATTGTGTGAAACTGATTTGAGGCTTGGCATATATATAAATATTGTGGCGTAATTGTCGAGATATAAGGAGATATATGGAGATATTTATTTATGGTGGGTCACCCTACAAATGATCGTTAGACTAAGTAAGGCACAGACTGACCATTATAAGGGTAAAATGATACCCGGGGTCAAACAGCAAAGTTACCACAGCATCACAACCAAGTCAGTGCCAAGGGCACGTAACCTTTCTTTTTGGGTAAGCCGACGCATATCAAAATTTGTTTTCTGGTCACTAAAACAATTAAACTGATGTTTCCACCCTGGAATTCAATGCCACAATGACTGTAACATTCAAAGTCAGAGTCGTGCAAATCTTTGGTTGGACCCCCATGATGATCCCAAGCATCACATGCATTCCATGCGGTAGCTATTGGTGCGTTTGGGCGTCACATGTAACTGGAAATGTTTCTTCTGTTAGGTTCTATAGTGACTTTTTTCGTAGTCATTTGCATATTTTAGTATTATGCCCCCAAAATCAAATATCCCCTACTTTTTTTGAATAGTATATATCGAATTGTGCGATGAAACAACAATCCCAAGCTGTACCGTAATATTCATCAAATCTTGTGATATCTGTCACATAGGGGCCCCACATATCTATTTTGATTGAAAACTGCCGACCCTAGGATTATCTTTTTTTTTTAATTCCCGCGTCGTTCTGTCGTGAGCGCGTTCTTAATTAATTGCGTATTAAGTTTGTTATAATATCCTTTTGGTTATGGTTGGTGTCAAGTAATAAAATTCTCCCTCGGTAAATGCGTCTAAAGTATAATCAGTCACGAAACGAAACACATAACGATGTGAGATTTAATGTTTTGTCAGGTCAGACCATCGTTGTTTCTTACTAGTTCTACGGTGTTTGATAAATTTATAATTTGGAGATACAGACGTACAAGAATAGGTCAGCTTACCTAGTAAAAGTGAAGTTTTAAGTTCTGACTGTTTATAAAGCAGAGCATGCTGAAATCTGGTACACAGTCACGTGGTATATTAACAGTAGGTTTGTTAAAGAATTCCCTGCCGTACAGATAACAGATGACATCAAAACAATGACATTACTAAATGAAGATGACACTGGTCTAACAAGTGTTGGTTTCCAGGTATAATACTAGATTCCATTAAGATGCATTGGTCATACTACGCCATACTCTACCGACATTCGTTGACTAAGTTTACCACACCAATGGGAACAAACGTCAATCAACACTGCAGCGCAAAATGTTTAGACCTCTTGACTCCCGATCCCAAGTGAAGCCGGGATTGGGCCAATGTTGTACTGAATCGTTGATGTTTGCTAGAATGAACCGTGTAATTTGACAATATTATTAATGTTGGTTATTTACATTAGCTGTCTTTGATAAAGATGCTATTGCATATTTTAAATTATTAAGCCAGGACGATACCCCTTCCATTTATTAATACACGTTACATGAATCACTATTCTGTTTTAGATCAGATGTGGCTATTCAGTAAGTTACGAACGGGATTCAGAACGGAGCCCAAGCACAGAGAGTGCAGATAGATTCATCGGCATTGAGGTAACATCTGCTTTAAATAATAAGATTTTGATAAGAATATGGGAGTAATGACAAATTACACGATACAGCTGGTGTCCTGTGTGGACCAGGAACCGACTATGGCGTCATCGTAGCCATCTTGGTTGTATGATCGCATATTGAAAATCGAAGTGCTTCAACTCAACTATTGCACATTTGTCCGATGATTAAACTCACCAAGCCTCTTGTTGAAAGTACATGAATTAACGGAGTCTTGAGAGTTTCTAGAAGAGCGTCTCCATACGTAGAAGAAAATAAATCCAATAAGATGAGTTCCTGGTTCAAATAACAATTGAATGACAACCTTTGATCTCCATTAGCTTAATATATACTATTCAAAAAAAGTAGGGGATATTTGATTTTTAAGTGTTATTAAAGTCACCTAATGAAACTGACGAAGAAACAAATGACAAAATGAAATGAAGTTCACATTCATCGATTTATTCCAAATGATCGTTAGACTAAGTAAGGCACAGACTGACAGCAAAGTTACCACAGCATCACAACCAAGTCAGTAACGGGTAAATCCTCCTCTGTTTGCCAAACAAGCATTGATCCGACGTGGCATACTCCTAATGAGACGTCTAAGGTCATTTTGGTCCAGATTGTCCCATTCCTGTTGCAACGCAGCAGCAAGTTCTTGGACATTGGCAGGACGTTGTTGACGTTGACGTAACCTCTGTCCAAGCATGTCCCAGACATGCTCGATGGGGGAGAGGTCGGGACTCAGTGCTGGCCAAGGTAATGTGGTGATGTTCTGTTGTTGGAGGTAACCTGTAACGATCCTGGCCCTGTGACATCTTGCGTTGTCATCCTGGAAGATGAAACGGCGGCCATGACGTCGTGCGAACGGCACAACATGGACTGCCAAGATGTTGTCCCGGTAGTACTGGCCTGTAACACGCCCTGCAACAACATGTAAAGCCGTTCTTCCAGCAACAGTGATGCCTCCCCACACCATAACAGAACCACCCCCAAATCGATCATGTCTGATGACGTTAACGTCTTGGAAGCGATGGTTTCGACGACGCCACACCCTCCTACGTCTGTCCAAAAAATCAACAGTGAACCTTGACTCATCTGAAAACATCACATTGCTCCAGCGTCGATTATCCCAGTGTTGACGATCCCTACACCAACGACGTCTTGCCTGAATGTGATGATCTCTCAAACAAGGGATCACGCGAGGACGTCGGGCGCGAAGGTGACCCCAATGCAGTCGATTCCGAATCGTCTGGCCACTCACTCTCATACCAGTGTCTGTTTGAAGACGAGCGCTGATCTGATTTGCTGTGATGACACGATAAATCGATCCTGGGCTTGAGTTGTCGCCCTTGGTCGACGTGAGCGTGGTCTGTCCTGTACAGATTGTGTATCACGGTATCTGGACCATAGCCTGCTTATGACAGACTGAGAAACATTCATCGTCCGCGCCACAACCGCCTGTGTTGTGCCGATCTGTAGCATGCCAAGGGCACGTAACCTTTCATTTTGGGTAAGCCGACGCATATCAAAATTTGTTTTCTGGTCACTAAAACAATTAAACTGATATTTCCACCCTGGAATTCAATGCCACAATGACTGTAACATTCAAAGTCAGAGTCGTGCAAATCTTGGGTTGGACCCCCATGATGATCCCAAGCATCACCTGCATTCCATGCGGTAGCTATTGTTGCGTTTGGGCGTCACATGTAACTGGAAATGTTTCTTCTGTTAGGTTCTATAGTGACTTTTTTCGTAGTCATTTGCATATTTTAGTATTATGCCCCCAAAATCAAATATCCCCTACTTTTTTTGAATAGTATACTTTTTTTGCAGATATTGACACCAGTTCTCGATGTGCAACAAAATACGAATGCGACTATAGTTGTAAGGCCAACAGTGGAAATTGGTTGTGGTATATCTTGTAATCTCAAGGTCAACTTAATAAAGCCCCAGGAAAATGATGCCTGTCTGCCCGACCCATTTGTATCCAAATGTAACATTACTTTAGATGGCAAAAACTCAACAAGAAATTATTCTATGGTTGTCAAGACCAATTTTCCTGCTGCCTATGGAGAAAAGTTTGCTGTACAGATTTTGAGGTTTAAAACACCCAACTTTTTTTTCGCACATAGACTCTGGGAAAATTATGAATTTGGGGATGTTAGAGTAAGTACCATTATCTTAATATAGGTAGTATCCGTCGAAAGTAATCATATTGTTATAAGAATAATCATATTATATTTGAAATGAAATGAATTGACAATGGAAATGGAATAAACACCTACGCCAAGTTTAAACATTCTATCCGAAAACATGTGACAGACGGACAGACCCATTTCTTGGAAAGGCGAGGGACAATTAAAATATTGAGTAAAGAAACATTGCAGTATTCTGATAATGATTAATGAATAATGTGTATAGCACAATGCATAACTGATAATATAATTCTGAAGTTGATTCTGGTTAGTGTTTGTATTTACGTATTTTAGTTTCGACACTCAAGACAGCGTATCCCCATCACTATTTGCGTTATCAGTCTGAAATTTGGTAGGAATAAGGAGCACATCACTGCATTCCCAATGACATATGATGGATTCCGGAAATTATCGAGGCTTTCTGTTGTGTTAAAAAAACCATTTTCAACCGTTTGGTAGCCATATTTATAGCCGCCATCCCGAATCAGAATTTCGCCGAAAAAAAAATTCTTGCAGCTAGACAAAACAGGAATAATCATTGGAGAGCAAACTTTCGATTTAGTTTACTTTTGGGTTCAGTTGGAAATATTTCCACTTCCCACGACTTTCTGGTGACCTTTGGGATTTACATATGCTGACTGACTTCCACTAACCACTGATGTTGTAAATGTCGAACTTCAAGTATAACTTGCGGTGTTATGGGGACTTGAACATGGATAATTATGTCATACTTTAATATGTATTTGATGTGACTTGGCTAGATATTATTTACATTTCGCCGGAAAACATAAGTACCTATTAGCATTTCCAGTTTTTATTCATTTTAATTACAGGTTAGAATCACAACTAATACAGCAGCAATAAAGGGTAAAAAGTGTTATGCTGTACCTGATCCGCACATGTCTACGTTTAACGGCATGTATGTACCCAATTTTTAAATTAAATTTATTGAAACATCATGACAGTGTATTTGAGGTAATATGATGTAGTTACTTGTCAATTTGTTGCACAATTGGAATTATTTCCCAACAGGTTATATTCGTGTCCGTTGGTAATTCAATGATTTGCAAGTTTATTCTTACTCCAATGCCATCTCGAATAATAAACAGGGATTAAAACCGTTTTATTTCCTTCAATTAGGCTTTCTTTGGGCTAAAACAAACCCCGGAACCATTTTGCTTGCGACTAATGAATGAATGAATTAATGGCGAGATTAATAAATCGGTAATAACAACGTGCATGTATGAATCATAATACACGACCCCACTATCTTTGTGATCAAGATAGTCCCTGCGGTTCGTTTGAAAAGTTCTAGTAGTTCCATTTTGTGGTATGCTATACGATATGAGAGAGAGAGAGAGAGTGGGGGGGGGGGGGAGTGGGGTTTAACGTCCACTCAACACAAACTAGGTCATTTTCATTTCGGGACTAACATATCGTTTAATTTTATTTCAATCATTTGCTTGCGTGTAGGGGTCTTTAGCAGTTGGAGGAAACCAGAAGACCCGGAGAAAAACCCACGAGGTTGGACAGGCGACCCTACTCCTTGTCACGTACAACCAGGGATTCGAACCACGCCAGTTGACTCAATGACAGGCTTTATGATACAGCGCGCACGTGCTAACCATTCGGCCATCCCCCCGACCCTATAAGGCATAGCCCACGAATTATGTGGGGCCTAAGACGACCATGTAGCGGAATTCTAAGCAAGCTAGACATTTTGGCAAAAGACTCACACGAATTGAAAATGCAAACCTTGGCTTTGCTATTTTTGTTGGTTTTCTTTTTCAAACACAATTGTCCTAAATTCATAATTTACAATTGAAATGACTTGTCGCTTGTGTCCACTTTGTTTGAAGAGAGTGGTTGATTAGCAACTTTTAGGCAACGTTGGTGAGTTCGAGAAAGCCTTGCCAAAGACACTGTGTGGTTAGAATAAGCTTCCTATATTCTTATTATCTTGTGTTTCGCCAATGTATATTGTAAAATCAATATGTCGTCCTTGTTTTCGCTGTGGCGAATAAAAATGAAATAGTGTTTAAATACTATTCTGCGCCAACCAGGATGAAGACGGGCATACTCCATTCAGGGCGATATGAGAGAAATTTGCCCGTCAAGCAGTCCTCAATTTACTATTATTTCGATATCCATCAATCTTGAGTTCTTTTACGTGCACTCCACACTTCAACGTGTACATAGGACCCCGGTTGTCGCCCCATTCTAACGACTGTTACAGTATTGGGTCTGTTTAATTTCATTAATATGATACTTTATTCTGCTTGTAGCAAGGGCACCGGAACGGCGCGAGGGTCAGGGTACCAAAAGATAGGGGGTGGGGGCTGTTTAGCGCGCCTCTAGCATTCCAAATTCCAACATAAAACCCTTTAAAATACATGATAATGAAAGAGACAAAAGCCTGATAATTCACAATTTTCGTATCATGAGCAAGGTTGAAAACTTTCATCATTAGGGCATGGGTATACATGTGTACCCCAGAAAAGGGCTCGGTACCATTTGTATACCCTGGTACCCGGGTTCCGGCGGCCCTGGCTTCTAGCATATCAAGTACAAACATCTTAATGTTAAAGACCCCATAATTAACTAGCTTTGTTTGGCACGAGTGTGCCAACTCCCAGACGCTCTCTCTCGTCCCGTCTCGTCTGCTGGTCTCGTTTCCATTCTGGGTTTATAAACCCTTCTAGACAAAGCATCTCATTACACATCTGGCCACTGTTGACTGCATCATATCAGATTTAACATTTAGTACCGTTTACTTATAAGACAAAGGACGTTAAATAAAACAGGCCAGCCATAAGTTTATATTATGGTAATGACTAATGAATTCCATCAAAATCCCCATGGGTGTCAATCGCTGACATAGTAATATTATAATCTATTCTGCTTCCATGTGTCAAGATGGCATGAAGCGTACCTAATACATCTGTCATTATGTAACACGACTCAATGCTATTTATTGTCAGGTTCCCCCTCCCACGCCATTGATATCTGAAAATCCCGACGAACGTTTTCGGCCACCACCGGGATCGAACACTTGATCTCGAAGAAGGAAGCGACATTCCTATTATAGATTCACCTGTCACAATATCGTAGTTTAAAACTGATTGCTTAAAATGGCACAATACCCTGGAGAGTATGTTTTTAACATCATATCAGAAACCCATCTTTATACTTTCATCATACATGATTTATGTTGGCACAAGTATAAAACGTAAGCGTGCATAATAAATCATTTTAAATAAATGGAAACAGAAACGAAATATGACTGTATTTATCTTTTTTAAAGACAATATGAACATCCATATACAGGGATTTACACCATGTATCAAAATACAGAATGGAAACAAGAGGTGAGTTGACAAGATAAAACCTTTTTTAAGTCTACTTTTCGCAATACTCCCGGTTGTATGGGGGGGGGGGGGGGTATTTCAATTTAAAGATGTCTAAGAAGATAATTTATAAATTTTATATTTTGCTTCAAAATGTTGGTAACTTCGATTAGTTTGGAGGGGATTATTTTTTATCTCGGGAGCGGCGTGGGTATAATTTATTTAAAATTGTGTGATTTCAGAAATTATATGTGTTGCTATTGAAAATCAATGATGATTTGAATTTTGAGAAATCCTGTTTTGTTCGAGAAATTATTGCTTTTATAATTTCGAGAAATTATTGCTTTTATAATTTCGAGAAATTATTGCTTTTATAATTTCGAGAAATTATTGCTTTTATAATTTCGAGAAATTATTGCTTTTATAATTTCGAGAAATTATTGCTTTTATAATTTCGAGAAATTACTTTTATAATTATTTTATAATCTGGATAAACAATCTGATTAAAACAATATATATCAATAATACATCAAAATAATGTATATCAATACCTGCTTGATGAATGGAGTTTCTCGCACGTTTAATTTGTTTTCTTTACAAACACAGCCTAACACCCACAGGTGGCCTTAATATTATTCCTGACAGGTGCGACACTCACTTTGGGACTAGGGGAGATAATGCTATCCTTCAAAAGCCATTGGTTGATCTACAGACTACTGTTATTCCCCGTGATGTATTCCACAGTTTAATTATAAGTAATATTTTATTGTCGTGAATCTTTTGATTTTTACAGTTACAGATACAAACCGAACCATGTTGGCCCGGCGCTCCGGTGACATGTGTTTGTGGTGTTGCGGTATGTATTGGTAAAGAAGTTTATGTTATGGAGCACTGTTCAGCCGACTACTGGAAAATAGGATATACCCAATGTGATAAAACAGCTGGTGTGTCTTTACTAGAAGTTAAAAGCGTTGGTTCAAGTAAATTCAAGGTAGGTGATTTACAAAGTCTTTAGGCCCATTCAACTGATCATTAACCGTAGATGTTGATTTACTTTGACACTTTTACGTCTGAAGATAAATTCAGTAGGCCGGCAATTAAACTGAATTAGACTTTCAAGAACTCAATCTTTTCGAGGCAAAAATGGTGTCGTATAGAACCTACGTTATCATTAATCGAAATAATTACACGGTTAATCAACCAAATTCAATACTTTTTTTTACTTAAATCAAATAAGCTAATCTCCTTTAATAATGTTATCATAAATTCATCACAGCCAATTCGAAAACACAGTTACTTGTGCTAATATGATACATGTATCCATCGTTGAAAGTGTTCCTTGATAAATGCAATTTTTAATTTCGGATTAACTAAACGGATATGTATAACGCTATAACTGCCACTTTGTTGTATTGATAGATTCGGCTTCCAAGTTCGACAACTATCTCTATCGCTAGATATGGCGGACAGATGATGGTGCATGTATTTCCTTCTGTTGCCGATGAGGGTTACGCTGAGGGCTTGTGTGGTAATTTAAACGACAACGTTTTTCGAACCAGAAATCGTGCCACGGTGCCATATGACAGATGGGGGATGCCGACATTTTCTAACTCCTGGAGGTAATTATAACCTTCACAATATTTAACATGGCGTGTGTATCGGGTTAATACAATAGGGGTCCTCATTTGTAGGAAGTATACTGCCATTGGGAATACTGCATCACATAATGCGTTGACAAGTAGACTAATGTGTAAATATAAATGTTCTTTAATGAAAAGTCTATACAAAAATATGATGATGATGATATATGATTAAAGTTGTTTAATGTTGTCTAACGATTAACTGAAAAATACAAATATAAATTCTGTCAAAATAACAGTACATTTCAGCTAAAAACTACCACTGATACATATTCTAATTACAACTAAGATTGGCAGGTAATAAATGCAAAGACATGGGGAATATTTGCTATAAAGGCTTTACTTAGTATAAAACCACCACCAGGTAAATAAAATATAAATGGAAAATAGCATACAAAGAATATAATTACATAAATACTTCAACTCATAATAAGAAGACTGACACAGTTCAAAAAGTAATTAAAGGGAGATAACTGGCTTTAAGTGATCAATGTAAACATTGCTTCCATGCCATGACGAAAATGCAACAGAGATACGACTGACAAGCCTGACATGCAATATCAATTAAATAATACAAATGATACAAATACCATGTTTTTATACCCCTATACTCTCTAACACTGGCTGACAATGACAATATACTGACAAAACCATACAGTTTGGTACTCGAATGACAACAATTATATATGAAACTGGCAACGACGAGAACAACATGACTACCGAAGTTACAATTGCATGGCGCTGTGTTCTTTCAACGGGAAAATAAGAGGCACATGAATATACTGTTTGAATGGCATTTAGTAATTGAACACATTGAAATAAACACAGCAGTTTTATGGATAACAATTATAGAAAAGTTATTATAGAAAACTGCTATTATAGAAAAGTCGATGATACGTTCGTAATGCTGAAAGAAGAAGATGACCCCGGCTGCCTTCTACAACACCTAAACAACCAGCATCCAAGAATCAAATTCACGATGGAGAGAGATAACTGTGGAACCATTCCCTTTCTAGATGTCCTTGAAGTACCATCCAAACCAGTGTATATCGGAAGCCCACGCATACCGATCAATACATCAATTATAAATCCAATCATCCTATTAAAGTTAAAACAGCTATCATCTCAACACCCGCCCACAGAGCTAAGAAAATCTGCAACCCGGAACTCCTCAATAAAGAACTAAGGTTATAACCCCATATTGATTAAGTGGTTTCCATCTATGTGTACATTACGATTAGAGGTTTATGTTTTTTGCATATGGTTTCATTATAAGATCAAAGGTCACTGTTCTCCTAATTTATGGTTTCATTGAATGTTTTGATTGTACATTGTATATATATTTTACTCCTTCTGTCTGTATCAGTATTGTGCTTGATAACGACAAGAGAATCATTGTTGAAACGTGGCTTTAATTGAAATACAGTAATTGTTAGTCACATGAATCTTTGTGGTTAGTCAAAAAATCATGAATATAAATAATAATGAGACGAAAAATCAAAAATAATATTACAATTAAATAAACTATAAACATTACTTTTAAGGTTTTCTGGCCATAAAATCATTCATTAGAGTATTATTAATGGAGTATGACAATGTTATTAAACCCAATATGCTTTGATTTTTTTTTCACACTTCTGTATGTAACTGTTGAGACCAATTTAACCTTGGAAAAACCCACGCGATCAAATTTATATTGTTCCAACATGTCAGCCATCTTCTAGCAACGGAAAAACATGGCTACTTTAAGATGAGCTGAAACTCATTTATCTATCTCTCGATTTTGTCCATTTGAGCCAAACATTGAGGGGTGAATGGGGTTCCCTGGGAGTGATGGTCTTTTCAGAGGTGTAAAAAAGGGTCCAAAGCGACCCAGGAGTGATTTATGGCTATAATTGGCGACAAATAATAGTACTGACCCTGATTGTCTGATCGCCACCGTCTGGTATCACGTGATTCAGTCTAGAACATGAATGTAGCTTAATACGAAAAACTGGGGTTTATGATCTAAGGGGGGTGAAAGAGAAGTTTGGGTCTCGAATGGGAATGAACAAATGAAAAGGGTTGGGAAATACTGGTATAGAGCTTTGTGTTACAAATCAATAAATTTGATACATAATCATGACATGTCTAATTCAACCAAATCTGTATGTTATAGCGTAGAGCATGCTGGGATTAACAATCTGTTCTCAAATGACGTCACCGATCTGGACCCTGTTAATACTGGTCTCTTCATTTGTGATTGTGAAAATAATGTTTGTATAAATAACAAGAGGTGTGGCCCATTAGATGTAGAAAGATTCACATCAACTAGTACATGTACTGTAAATCATTTTCTGAAAAAAAGAAGTACAGTTAATAATCGCAGGAGGAGATGGTCTTTGGTACCAGAGACGAGTGTCATTAGCGGCAGTCACACTATTATCAAACGACAGGTACGTTTATTGGTTCCCTACCGGTCGAACTAGAGTATATCTGAAGGTTTTTTTATACCAATTATCAAACTTAGGAGATTGTTGAATATATAGCAGAATGTCGTTGGATTCCGTTAATTGTTTTAATGAATTATGACCCTGTATTGACTATATCAATGAACATTCGAATTACGCAATTGTTTTAGATGTAAAAAAAATGAGGTATTTGATTGGAATTTAGTACACACAAAATTTATTTGGATTTTATATTTTACATTCACAGAAATATTCTCGCACTATCAACCTTCTATACGACCAAATCCACATTGTCTAAAACTGACGCTACTTATAATCAGACACACACGTGGTGCCCCCAATAGTCACCGAACCCTTCGGTCAACCAACCCATATACAACTAGGGTTAAAGCATAGTATATGTCAAGATACTATGTTTGTTGCAGTAATGAAGTTTTCCATCGAAATACAAACAAGCAAAGGAAACAAACCCACCCTTGACACGTGAGACCCAAACCGTGACTCATTGACATAATTGTGATCTATGGAGAACGTTATACCAATTAGTCTCCCAACCTGACCACGTTGCCAACAATTTGAATCGAAAATAGATATGATTTTTTTGCAGGCTGAAACAACATGGATAAACGGATGGACAGAGAGTTCTGCAACGGATTATTGCAATAGTGTATTTTTAAATTCCTCGATAGTTCAAATTTGTAAAGATATCCCTAATGTAAATGTACAGGGTGCCTTGGACAACTGTATTTTAGATATTGAGGTAAGAATTCCCTTTTGTTAATTTGATGGGTGAGATGTATTAGGACACAGGAGCGTTATCTGTAGGTTGGTCAGCCGTACGTTAATTACGATGGCTGGCTGAAAAGGACTGGGTTGGAACAAACCTTTGCCAGCAACAATTACCATCATTAAACGGATCATAGACATACGAACTGTAACTATGGTGTTATTATTATCTTCCTACCTTTGAACCTACCCATTGAAATCGACAGACAAATGGACAAAACTGACTATAGGGCAGTCATCATGTACCTGAAATTGAAAGACTAACCCCAACACAGATACATGCCGATATAATCTCCAGTTTAGGGGATGATGACCCGTCCGTTTCCACAGTAAAGCGTGGCAGTGACCGTCGTCCTTGAAGGCCATCAACAGCAACAATTATTATGAAGATGGCTGGTCGACGGTTGACCACTCGACATTTCCAGTACTGTCTGTGCTTCTCTCATGGCAGGCTTGAACACATCATCGCCAACGAGTTAAGAATGACAAAAGTTTCTGCAAGATGAATGACCGAGGTCTTGACTGCGAATCGGAAACGTGTCAGATTCTTGAAGCACCGTAACAATCTGCGCCGTTTTGAAGCAGATCCTGATATTCTTTTCGCCAGATTTGACTCCGTCACTTACACCTGTTTCCAAAATTTAACAGGAACTAGTCTGTCGTCATTTTTCTAATAATCATGACGTCATGTTAGCTGGAAAAAAATATTTTCCTAACCGGCAGCCAGACCTTATTACATCGTTAGCAATAGTGTGTACATCTCGAAGGGGACAACGTGGAAAAATAAATGGAACCCACCTACTTTGTACAGACCTTTCACATATTTTCAGTCAGTCCTCGTATCAGATGTTGTTTCGCTCACCGCGCAAATTCTAACCACTTAGTGAAAATAAGTCTTCCATAACTGATTATCATTCTTGTAGTTTGTGAATTATTGTCAGTGGACATGTCTTTGTAAAAACGGTAAATAAATTTTCTTACAGTTAGCGGGTGACACAAGTTTTTCACCGGTTGCCGTGGAAACCATAACAGCCTCATGTTTTCATGAAGTAAGTTATGATACCAGATATCAACAATCAACAACAGACCAACCATCCATCTTTGATCAGATAAAACTAGTAGCCTGTCCCTTAGAATGTTCTCGACATGGTACCTGTAATCAAGGTATTTGTACCTGTGATGACGGGTTTGGAAGCCTGGATTGTTCAATATCGCTCAACACCCCTCCTTTCTTAGATCACGTCACCAATGATGGATACTGTGATTCTTTAAACAGCAACTGTTCAGAGATTTCAGCATTTGGTGGAGACTTTGTTGACACTGATTCAATTCGCTGTAAAACACGAACATATCAGGTAAGATACATCATTATTGAAATAATGTATTGCCTTTCATTGTAAATAGCCAATTGAGTACGTACACTCTTCGTTCATCACACCATTCTTTTGAAAAGTTTTGTGGACTGATTTGTTTTATTGTGATGAAAATGACACTTAACTTGCTTTTTAGCTGACTGAACAAGGTTCACCAATATTCAAAGAACAACGAATTGCTTCACCAGTCTTCGAGAGTGTTGGAGAAGTGATCTGTCCTTTGCTGAAACCTGACTCGACGTCATCTATAAAACCAGAAGTTGAGTATGGAATAGTATATGGCGTATCAGTGAGTAATAGTGGTGACATCTTTAGTAACGAGAGTCTGGTAGTGGTGTATAACTCTAGATGTCAACAATGTAACATAGTTGGAACTCAAATACAGTGTTCATATAAGGTATGTTTAAATAACCAACCCGTGTGCTTAAAAGAAGTGCGTCTACTCATATGATCCACCCCATGTTTCACAACGTGTTTGTGTTGCGCCGTTTTTATTCTTAAGCGCGACTAACAATAGAAATATAACCAACCTTATTACAACAGTAGGTACAAAGTGTGACGCTCCTTTGGCAGCGAAATGGTGTAGCGGTTTGGTTGTGTGGGGAATTCTTCTGCAAATGTTCCCCAGGATCCACACCCCGGTAATTTATCTGCCACAAGTGATCTATCGACCGATCACAAACCTTTTAAGAGGAGAAGGCGGACTAGGTAAAAACTAGTTGTGCTATGTTCATCTCTTTCTTCAAACAAATGGAACACAACTGTATAAAACTATCAAGCGTTATTATGCATTAAGACATATATACAGGTAAGTTTTGGTGAACTGTTCTGTGTAATAGATTAAAGCTATACTGTTCATTAATTACAAGTAGTTGCAGGCTGTATCTGTTCCGCTAATATAAACTGAACTGAAATGAAACAGGTTTGACCGCCCTACTATTCAAAACCTGCTGGCCATATTAAGAGCGACAGGGGCCATGCACTTACTTTGCGGGAAAGTGTACAATTACAGCAACGGTGCGGTCTATTTTTCTTCGAATTTCAAATTGGCAAGATTTCTTATACGTGCATGCCAACTACTACACGAGGCTTCTGATTTTCGTCCCATCCGTACGACTAGACACTCTTTCTACCAGGCACCCGTTCGCATCACTATCTCATCGAAACCACGCTGATAAATTCAAGGCCAACACTGATTTTGAACCAGAGACCTCAAAGTTTTTGGGCTGGCGCCATAATCTCCACTGGGCCATCGTGATTCCCAAACAATGAATTATTCCTACGATTAAATACAGCAAGGAATGGCTCTTACACACAAGATGTTGATTCTTACTATACCTGTATTTGTCTCTATTGACTTGTGTTGTGCATTAAGGGATTTATTATGCTTTCATCTTTCCGAGAAAATGTAAATAATATATATATCTTACACATTTTTTACAATCCTTTTTAGGGTGATTTTTGTATGTCTGAGGGAGAATGTTATGAAAATGATGAAAGACACCCCGCGTATACCTGTTATAGCTGTTCAATAAATGGTGATTCCAGATCGTGGAAATATAACCAAGGTCAGATATTTCAATAAAATTTAGGCTTTTATAATGTACCCTGTTTCTTGATTATATTAAAGGACAATGTTGCTGTCCACTAATAATACATGAGTAGATCGAACTGGCCTATTGATAAGAGGTATATAGGCCATTTTCAGCTCACTAATAGTGCCTTTGAAGGGGACGAGTTGTTATTATGTCAGATATCCACCAAATACTGAAATCTCAAAACAGTTGTTGTTTATGGAATCACAGTATCCATCATTGGTGACGTGATCTAACAAAGGAGGGATGTTAAGCCATATTGAACATTATTTAAAAACATCTAACTCCCTTCATAAACATATCAGTAATACTGATACCCTACTTCTAGCACAGATATATGTTAAATAAGATTCGAAATGTGTTTAACCAAAGCTGTACTGCAAAACATTGGGTATATGATTTTTAGGATACGAGCAGATATTGGTATACGTTTTGTCAATCTTGTTTGATTTGACTTAAAGAGAACTCTTGTCAAAAATTGTTCATTAACGAAAGTTATTGTATTGTTCATTGAACCCTTGTAAGTCCAAGTATTTGAGATTTTAACCATGTTATAAGGAGTAACCCAATCAAGATACTAGTTCGGGCTTCAGTGTTACTTAGAGGTATTGCCCCCGTGTCGGTATCTTCTTATGCATGCTGTACAGCTCCTACGAGTTTTGGGACATGTTTGAATTTTTAGGGCATATTGGCGATGAGAGTATAAGATTTTTAATGGCATCCGGTGCATATCACACCTTGGGCTAGAGTTATAAATATAGTAAGGGCGAACCCGTAAATACTAAAATTGCAAATTATTCTGTAAGTCAACATCACCGCGGACACAAACCAGTGTGCTCGGAGTTGCTATGAGAATGTCGTATCAAAGAATACGACACCGGTTTTATGTCATCTATATACTACAGGTGCTGACTGTCCAGACGTATCGACAACAGAATCAACTAGTCTTGGATCGACAACAGAATCAACTGGCCTTGGATCGACAACAGAATCAACTAGTGTTGGATCGACAACAGAATCAACTGGTCTTGGATCGACAACAGAATCAACCGGTTTTGGATCGACAACAGAATCAACTGGTCTTGGTGATAATTTATGGATAATCGTTGGTGTATCGGCAGCTGTTGCTATGCTGTCGGTGGTCGCAATAATCGGATATATTGAATACAAAAAGTAAATAATATAAAACAAATATAGTATTTTATTTATAGTTTCGGAGAACTAGGCCCGATATCTTAATATTAGGGCAATCAAAGAGATTACCCTGGACATCATCAAAACTCCGTACACCACTAACAAAGCTGTATATATATATAGTCGGACCGCTTTAGACAATAGAAATATTATATAGTACCTGCAGTTAAGTAATTTTGAGGATAAGATAACTCAGCATTCATCTTTCACCATGAAAGGAATGAACAACTTTCGATAAGATTTGAATAAAGAGTCGTTCTCCACCTGAGGCTATTTTATGTTTTATTTACTAGCATCTTATATCTGAATATCAAACAAATCTACTGTAGAGGTAAAATAATATGAAATGTTATATTTCAGACGACATCCTCCCAAGTGAACACCGGAACCACCCAAGCTGTATATAAATTACTGAGGTCAAATTAATCATGCTGGCTTCATAATACAAGTATATGGTTTATTCATGAAAACTCACGTACAACTCCTGGAAAGAAAGAAAAACTAATTAAATATAAGCAACTTATTATACTTAATAATGGCCCATTTTTTGTTCACATTACTACCAGTGTTTTTTTTATTATATCATAATAAAATGTTTACCTTGCTACCAATTTATATCTCGTGTTACCTTGATCCTTTTTCCATGGTCTAATACCCAGGAGTTCCATAAAGAACATACATTACCCATAGGTCACTTGGTCAAACTTAGGCACCGTGGGATTATAATTTATCTATGCAAGTCAATGATACAATCGTCTGATTTAGCAACTCATAGGCTATCTCAGGTTAATTCAGTTAAACACAACAATAAACACCCCAATGGGCATGCGTAATGAGTGCCACCTATGTTATTTGCCCACTACTACCGGTAAACTATGGAGCCACGGTGGCTGTAAAAGTAAGATTTTGGATAGCTCATCTGAAGGTCCTGTGTTCAATCCCAGTATTGGCCCCGAAAGTCCATCGGTATTTTCCGGCGCGATTCCCTGCCCGCTTTCCGGGCAAACTTTCTATTATAGCACACTGTATAGGACCTTAGTCCAGTCGGGACAAAAACAGTAGGACATAAAACCCCATTTTATTTTCCGGAAACTAAGGTGTCTAAGTGACGGTTTAGAAGATCATTGACATGTTCACTTAGGTCATTTTGAGACTACAGATAATTTATATAGTGATCTGTGAATTGCTAGGGATTCGGGGTATTCGCCGTTTCCTAAATAACTACTGAAGTGCATTATCTATTTAAACAAGTGACTTCGTTAATGCCCCATCTGAACGACTAGACACACGTTCTTTGTATGGTCTTGGTATGCAGGTATCACGGTGGACTAGTGAGGAGAACTGGCTCAGGAACACAATGTTTGTAGATTAAGCAGGATACACAGTTTATAACTGCTATGATATTACAAATATCAGCACAAGCATGTCTAGGTGTAACCCCAAAAAAGTATTATGGTCACCCTCAACTCTGCTCTAACTAGAGCAGTTAACCCTTACCCACAATCTCGTCAACAATCATGTGCCCTAACCCTAGACTAGCATGGATAGTAGACGCGAGATCGATTAGGAGGCCTATTCGATTCCGTTTCCTTAAATAAAGACACAATGCCTTTAGCAGGGTAGCGTCCAAGGTAAGTTCATCCGAGGCTAGTAGACCGTAAGAATGGATATGGCCTGCCTATGATCTCGCCAAACTGAGTTGGTAAGACGGATAGATCTGGCAGACCGCAGGGGGCTATTAAAATTGGCCTGTCCGTCACAATGCTTTTGGGGTTATTATCGAAACGTTATCGTGTTAGCTGTGACACATGAAGGGGTGGGGGTGTAATTTAATATCACTGATGACCGGGTGGTTGATCTGATTTATGTAATTTGTACAGAAAGCGTATGTGGCATTATGCATCTTGGTACCCTTTGATACTGCAGTCCAAACACAATCCCCTCGTGGCAGTAAATAACCCTGAATTATTTACCAATGGATTCAAAAGTATTGAGATTTGTGTTCTTTTACCAGATATCCCTGACGCAAAAAAATTAAATTAGTTACCCGTGACGTTTTAAATAATTCCCAATTTGCTGTAAGTTTTTTTAACAATCGTGTGATGAAAACGGCCTAATCCTCGCTCAAGTAATCGTCTCTTTGGCCATAAAAGCGTTCTCAACAGCGGCAATGGACCTCACCCCAATTCAGCGTCAGTCAGTTATCATATTTGCTAATGGCTTAAACAGAGATTCGTGAATCGAACAATAATAATTTTATCAGTGACACGTAAAATCTTCACCACATCTCTACCGCAGAAGGTATAACGTTGGATAATATGAATGTTATACAAAACACCTTTCAGTTATGTGTCAGTTCCGGTTCCCATCCTCCCATTAAACCCCGTCCTTACCGAAATCCTCTCAGCCACTGACAAAATGTATGACGCCAACGTCACTCGCCCACCTCAGTCACCCTAGAGTTTCCGATTGTCATTGTGTCTAAAAGGACAACTCGAAACGCTTTTGTGACGACTTTCGAAAGTTAAACCAAGTCATTAAACCCATCTCATACCAATGCGCATTTACGTGTCATCGTGGCCTATTTGAATGTGATGCTATGTCATTTAGAATTTCGAATGCTTCCTGGTCTTTATCAAAACACCTTTATGCATGTCTTTCTAAAGACCTTGATATGTTTGCCAAGTTGTACAATGATGATAAATTATATTTTTCCTGTTGTTTCGCAGATCATTATGCACTTATCGAAACTGTCTATCAGGTTCCCCGTGATCATAATTTGAAAATTAAAATTATCGAAATGTAAATTCCTTCAGAGGGAGACCAATTGTCAGGTTTTGTTATCACATCTGATTGAATTAAGCCTGAGCGGGAAAACGTATCAGCTATTAATAACATAACTGAACCTAAGACCGTCACCGATATATGGTTATTATAGGCGTTTTATCCCGAATTTTCCTTTATTGGCTGGTCCATTATTAGCGCTCACTTAGAAACATGCTAAGTTTGATTGGACTCTAAAATGTACATTATCCTTAAAGAAATTAAAAGATCATTTAGCTTCTGTACCCCTCCTTGTCTACCCCGATCCCAACAAACCGTATCTTCTATATATGTTCTGCTATTCATTACGCACGTCAAAAGTTTGATTAATATCTTATTGGTGCTAGTTTTCTTATCCGCACTGATTGAAACCACTCAAATACTCTCCAAATTGGCATTAAATGCCACTGGCTACAATTGTTCTATTGAATATCCTCTCGGAAAACAAAATGTTATAGACAATTTTCTCAACCGAATGACATACAAACCTATAATACACCTGAATTTGCAGAGTTGTTCAGGAAGCGCGTTCTCGTGACGACATCTCTGTAGAAGGTTACGACATGTACCAAGAACAATGTAAAGACAAATAAATTTCAAAAATTATTCCGCAATAAAAAGGTGATATAGAAATTCCCGGTATTCACAAGAAATATATGTTAATAATATACTCTCCAAACAAAGTAGGGGATATTCAGAAACAATATAAAACTGCGGAAATGCACTGCTGTTTTTATTAGAGGGAACCAGTGTATGTTAATAACAGGCCAATTGCCTACACATGCACATAAACAGTTCACATGGGCGGCTAATCTGACGGCCCCATTTCACTCGCAAAGAGATACACAGCCAAAAGTAAAAAATCGACGTTTTTTTTTTATTTTTGTCTTAATAATGAGTAATTGCTCCACCAATCCTCAGACATTCAGCAATTCGTCGTTGCATGCTTATAATCAAGCGTCCAGTCACGATTTGGGGCAATCTGACCCACTCCTCTTGCAGTGCCACGGCCAATTCTTGCAGTGTTGTCGGTTGACGTTGACGTCGCCGAACACGTCTGCCGATCAAATTAAACGTAACACACGCTAAACAGTAAATCTTATGCAAGACCCGATAGGAAAGCAAACATGGATAGGATAAACCAGCATGCGGCAGTTTTCATCAACCCTTCCTTGAAGTGTCAATTTTGACAATTTACCCCTCCCACGTGTATGTGTAGCTCAGTGGTTCTGTTGGGGCGATAAGTTCTTCATCTGTGAACATACTCTCAAAGTATGTCAAGTGTCCATGACTATTTATCATATCACAACCTGCATAGATATTTCCCTTACAGTATCCCCTATTGTTTTTAAGAGTATATATTGCATTATATCGCTATCACCAATGACAAGCATAATCCTCGTTTGTATGTTCCAATTTAAATAAAGAATGATGTCCTTAAAGGGCACATACGATGGGCGAGAAAACTTTTCGGTACATATAGCCAATGGTTACTATATCCACTTTACGGCAAGTAGGATTAGTCTGACACCATGTAATGGACGATGGTCAAGACACCGTGTGCTAGCTTTGGAATGCCGTCTATTTACTCAAGACATGCTATAACATACAAAACATTGCAGTTCAGATGGGATAAAAACGAAGTCACTTGTTCAGATTGGTAATGTACTTCAGTAGGAATTTGAAGAAGAGTGCTTTGAGGAAACCCCTCGCACGTCACAGGTCAAAATATAAATATAAATTATTTTGGGTTACCCCTAAGTCCAGTCAAATAAGCCAGTCGATAAAACCAGTTGATGGCTGATTTTGGAATAGTTTGTAATTTAAAGAAAAACCCACAAATTCAAATATCGTTTATCATTGTTTTTGTCTATTTTTTTTATTTTCCCTTGTGTTCAAAGGGATTCCCAGAAGACTAGACTACACGTTGTTATCTTAGTTACTGTCACCGATGCTTAATAAAGTCATGCTTTAGGTTTTTCCTCGTCATATTGAGCGATTGGTGTTATCGACTGGATTATTTGACTGGTTTTCTTTACGACTGGATTATTCGACTGATTATATCAACTGAACCATATGACTGATTTAATAGACTACGAAAGTGTCAAATACTCCCCTCTCTCCTCACCGTTACACCCCAAGGATTGTTGAATTTCATGAAAATCAGACCAAAAGGGCTGGACAAAATGGCCGCCCCTCGTACGCAAATGATGTAAACATCTGGTAAATCAAGGTTGTGGACCCTCTAGAGGTCACACTGTTGATCCGATTTCCATGAAACTTGAATGATATGTTTATAACCCAAAGATATTGTTCCTTTCGATATTCGCGCATACCGGATCGTAACTTCCTGAATTATGGCCTTTGGTTGAACAAAAAATCACGTTTTTAGCTTATGATTCCTGTAGAGGTCACAATGTTTATCCGATTTAAAAAAAAACAAAACATGTGAATATATCACCATTACACACTAAGATCTTCGTTCCTTAACTTAACTTCCTGGATTATGGCCCCTGATTGTTCGAAAAATCGCATTTTTAGCTTGCGGATTCTCTAGAGGTCACAATTTTTTCCGATTTTAAAAACCGTTTAAAATCATCACCATTCCACCATAATGAAGGTTGAATTCGTATTTCGGGAAAATCAAAATGAAGCTGCCCGACAAAATGGCCGCTCTTTGTACGCAAATTGTATAATACGAATGTTGTGGACCCTCTAGAGGTCACAATTTTTATCCGATTTTGATGAAACTTAAAACATAATTATCTTTAAATCCCAAAGATCTCTGTCCCTTTTGATATTTGCACTTTTCAGGCCATAACTTTCTGGATTACTGTCCCTGACTGTACAAAAAATCACGTTTGTTTTTAGCTTGTTCTCTATCCATCTCCTGCAAAATGTGGGCGTATCCTGCCTGGCAGCTGCTGGTTAACTATTATAGTGAGAACTATCAGCTCTTTATCTAATCTCCCATAATGTATCTTTAAGTATCACCTAATTAGATACCTACTCATCAGACTACCTTTGCCCTAAATATCCGACTTGAAACTAGTTGGGAGCCCCGCCCGCCTCTTTAGTCCCGGCTGCTATATACAGGTATGGCTACCAGCATGACTGAGCTACTCTATATTATTTTAGGTTACTGCCACCGCTGCATAATATTGAGCGACTGGTTTTATCGACTGGGATATTTGACTTGTTTTCGACTGAATTGTTTTACTGGTTTTATCGACCGGATTGTTTTTTTCGACTGGATTATACTACAGGGTTTATCGACTTTGACTTTTTTCCGACCGAATGCGTTGACTGGTTTTACCGACTGGATTTGTCAAATATCACCCCCCCCCCCCCCACCGTGCCAAATAATTTCAAGATCGATTTTTCGGACAAACGTAGCCTGATGATTAGGTATTTGGGCAATACTTAAGTAGTCAGTACATGGTCCCCCCTCCCTCCCCAAGTTCCGTATGGATTTAGTATGCTCATAGTCAGGGGGTGGGATGGGAATATAACAAGACGTCTTCTTATGGTCTCGTCCAGTCGATAAAACCAGTCAAATATCTCATTCGAATAATTCAGTCGGTAAAACCAGTCAAATAATACTGTCGATAAAATTACGAAAATGAGTCAAATAATCCAGTCGAAAAAACAAAAAGGTAAATAATCCAGTCAATTAAACCAGACGCTCAGTATGATGAGGAAAAACGTAAAGCGTGACTTTATTAAGCAGCAGTGGCAGTAACTAAGATAACATGTAGCCTAGTCCTCTACAAATCCCTACTCATATATCAAATTCCAACTCGGTTTTTCGTCCCTCCTGAACGACTATACTTTTGTCCCTTGCTAGTCCCTGGGTCCTGCACAAGTGACAAGGGGGGAACTACCCGGGAAAATACCGATGAACTTTCTTAGTCAACGCAGGGATCTAACACGTTACCTCCAGGTTAGCGAGCCAATGTCACAGACCTAAACGTTAAACAGCAGTGCGCAAATGACATATAGTTGGCATTCTTATAAACCTGTAACGGTAAATCTCTTTGATCTTTGGGGTATATTCTATGCCCGGAATAACTTTCGGTCTGAAAGTCGGGGGCGGCTTTGGATATATACGGGGTTATTCTTCTGAAAGTTTTTCTTTAAACCTGCAATGGGTTATTCTTCCAGGGTAGGGTTTTTTTTCATAAGAAAACATGATATAAGGTTTTTCTTGCGGGAATTATGGGATATTCTCATCTTGCGTACATGTAAACATAGACGGTTTATAAGCAATATAAAGTTCTCGACTTCGGTTATGCTGTGGAAGAAAGACTTCAGAAAAAACCCTCGACAGAAAACCCTCGGCCTATGGCCTCGGTTTTTCTTTTTCTCGGGTTATTTTCTTCAGTCTTTCTTTCCCCAGCATAACCTCCGCCTCGTGCTTTATCCTACACATAACGCATGGTCGTTGGTGGGTCCAACTGAATTAACCCGAGAATGCCTATGAGCTGAACCAGCCGATTGAATCCTTGACTTGCATGGATAAAGGCCTTATATTATAATCCCACGGCGCCTTGACCAAGTGAGCTATGAGTAATGTATGTTCTTTATGGAACACCAGGGTATTAGACCATGGAAGAAGGACCAAGGTAACACGAGACAGAAATTGGTAACAAGGTTAACATTTTATTATGATACAATATAATAACACCGGTAGTAATGTGAACAAAAATGAGCCATTATTAAGTATAAAAATAGGGTATTATTGAGTATAAAATGAGCCATTATTTGTATAAAAATGGGTTATTATTAAGTAGAAAAATGGGGTATTATTGAGTATACAACTGGGCCATTATTAGTATAAAAATGGGCTATTATTGAGTATAACAAGCCAACAGTGAGGCTGATGTCCTCCGCCGAAATACCAAAATAAAAAGATGACACATATTAATTAATCGCACATTTTCAAAAGTATCGAGCAATCAAACCATACACTAAGTTTCATCACTCTCTATTAGATAGAATCGGAATTATCTTGTCCCAAACCATCGACAAATGAAATCGATTAGCTCTGCTTAGCGTCAGCTCGAAATGTTAATCATTGAACTCAGGGCAGTGTCACATTCTGGGAAGTATGACGTAGATGGGTCGCTGCGTACAGTATGACTCAGTCAAGGTATTCATGTAATAAAGCTATACACCAAGTGTCCTCACTCTCACTTAATTAGAACTGAAGTTCCCAAAGCATCAACCAATCAAACTGCTTATCTCTGCTTACCTTAAGCAGAAAATTTCATCTTCCAACTCCATCAAGGCATTTACCTAATAGACACCTACGCCAAGTGTGAACATTCTAACTCAATTAGAATGAGAGTTATTGTGTTCCAAAGTCTCGACCAATCAAATTGCTTATCACTCTGCTTGCCCTGACCAGAAAATGCTCATTATCGCACTTAGTCAAGATATTGATGTAATGAAACTATACACCAAGTTTCATCACTCTCACTTAGTTAGAACTAAAGTTATCGTGTCTCAAAGCATCAACAAATCAAATTGCTTATCTCTGCTTACCCTAAGCAGAAAATGCTCATCTTCGAACTCCATCAAGGCATTGACTTAATAAACACCTACACCAAGTTTGAACATTCTGGCTCAATTAGAAGAAGAGTTATTGTGTTCCTAAGCAGAAAATGCTCATCTTCGAACTCCATCAAGGCATTGCCCTAATAAACACCTACACTAAGTTTGAACATTCTATGTCAATTAGAAAGAGAGTTATTGTGTCCCAAAAAGTGTGACGGACAGACAGACAGACAGACAGACAGACAGACCCATTTTAATAGTCCCCTGCTTTCTTCGAAAGGCGGGGGACAAAAATAGGCTATTATATTATTGAGTATAAAAATGGGCCATTATTAAGTATAATAAAGTTGCTTATATTTAATTAGTTTTTCTTTCTTTCCAGGAGTTGTACGTAAGTTTTCACGAATAAACGATATACTTGTAAGATGAAGCCAACATGATTAATTTGACTTCAGCAATTCATATACAGCTTGGGTGGTTCCGGTGTTGACTTGGGTAGATGTCGTCTGAAATATAACATTTCATATTATTTTACCTCTACAGTAGATTTGTTTGATATTCAAATATAAGATGCTAGTAAATAAGCATAAAATAGCCCCAGGTGGAGGATGACTTAATTTTTATTTAAATCTTATCGAAACATGTTCATTTATTTTAGGGTGAAATTAATTAACTGTAGGTACTATATAATATTGCTATTGTCTGGCCCTATATATGCAGCATTCTTAGAGGTGTGCTGCGTTTGGGTTATGTGCAGGGTAATCTCTTTGATTGCCCTAATATTTAGATATAGGGCCCGCCTAGTACTCCGAATTTTATAAATAAAATATTATATTTTTTTTATAATTTACTTTTTATATTTTATATAACCGATTATTGCGACCACCAACAGGACAACAACAGCTGCCGATACACCAACAATTATCCATAAATTATCACCAAGACCAGTTGATTCTGTTGTCGATACGTCTGGACAGTCAGCACCTGCATTATATAGAAGACATAAATTAGGTTTCGCATTCTTGCTCCCTTCGATACCAATTTGACATGGCAACGCTAATCACACTGGTTTGTGCCCGCGGTGAAGTTTACTTACAGAATAATTGCAATTTTTGTATTTACAGGTTCGCCCTTACTCTATTTATCATTCTAGCCCAAGGTGTGATAAGTAACGTGTGCCATTGGGTATCTTATATTCTCATCGCCAATATACCCTAAAAATTCAAACAAAATTCAAACATGTCCCAAAACACGTAGAAGCTGTACAGCATGCATAAGAAGATGACGACACGGCGGCAATAACTCTAAGTAACTCTGAAGCCCGAATTAATACTCCTTATAACATGGTTAACATCTCATAACACTGACTTACAATAACTATCCAATAACTTACATAGATGAACGATTTTTGACACAAATCAAACAAGATTGACAAATCGTCTACGAATCTTTGCTTTTACCCTACAAATACTGAGAAACATATAGTTACCTTGCTTATGAATAATGATACGTCCACATGAAAATGTGGGTGTATAAAAATATTCGGAATCTGTTTAACCAGTTCTATCACACATGTAGTATTTTCACTTTTAAAGGTTTAAAACTGGTCGTGTAAATTTATTTTTCTAATATTTCGTACATGATGTTATGATTTGGGATAGTTAGAAATGCAGTATAAAGTTTTCAGTTATCAAATGTGATAACTCGGGAAAGCCACTTGCAGGTTTTAATGTCAACTCAACGCTTAATGGTTCATATCAGGACAACACGTCTTTGTTAAATGATATAGTGCAATGAAGTAAGTGATAATGGAGAGTACCATAGTAAACCGACAAGCAGCGGTGCAGCCCCCAAAACCATTCTAGATATGGACCTGACTTAAACTATGGGCCCAAGCTTGATTCGAAACCTTGACTGCACAAAGGGCAAATCCACCACCGTGACCTATATCGTTAACTACACAGACAGGAGCAAATCTAGGCACCAAATGTACGGGATCTCAGAGCACCAAGTACAATCGCTGAAGCATGCTTAATGAATCGAATATGCAAAACCCCTTGTAGATAGTAGTGCATGGAACAGCATAGAAAAATCCTGTGAATATTTTATTGGTCATTAATTTTCCGCAAATTTACATTTCTCCTCTTCAAGTGATTTATTTTTCTTCTTCTGACCAACATGTCCGTTGTGTGGCATTGTTTTTCACTGCAATGGGAAAGGGATAAAGAATATAGATGTTTACAATATAAATAACTGATCATCCAAAGTTATCAATAGTAAAACAGCAGGAAAGAGAAATGAAATTGGGTTTAACGCGCTTTTCATAGATGTTACCCATTGAAATGGTATTCCATTAACATTTTTTGGGGTGTTTTTCAACAGGCAAAACAGCAGCAACTTGCTGGCATACTGACCAATAACGCAATTAAAAAATACAATGGTTGTCTATATTAGCGACACGGCAAAGGTCAAGATAACCTTGACCGGTTTTACCTAAAATGCCTGGTTCAAACTTTTGTACTTGGTTTTACCCATTCCTATACATACCATTTACCTCACTATAAAAGTGTGAAAATGCTTACAAAACATTTCAAAATATTAAATTAATACTTACCGTAATATAACCAATTTTCAGGAAGTGTGGAATTTGCCACATGAGACGGGACCAACTATTACCGATTGAGAGCGCATGGTCAATAATTATTCACTTAGTTAGTACTAAGCAACGGTTGGCTAATCACGTCATCATTAGTAAGATTATCCAGATACAAATCACGAACAACTCGAACGCTCAACCGGCTTGACGGGGGATTGGTCGAAGAATGTTTTATCACAGATCGTTATTGGGACAATCAGGGGGAATGAAAGTAAGGTCACCGTATTGAGACCATGTCCGAGTTTTGTTGCACTTATGCTGTGCACATGTCCTCACGGATACGATGATACCAGCCCCCACCCCTCTCTCTCTCTCGCACTCTTTCTAATCCCTCTAAACTCTCTCTCCAATCTCTCTAAACTCTCTCTACAATCTTTATAAACTCTCTCTCTAATCTATCTCATCTTCCTCTCCCCTCTCTCCCTCCTCTTGAAGCGATCATCTCACTGTTGACTGCAGATTATCACTGCACTAGTTATCATGCAATCACTTGATTTGATATATGTCCGAATAGTGTTGCACTTATGCTGTGCACATGTCCTCACGAATACGGTAATACCAGCCCCCCCCCTCTCTCTCTCTCTAATCCCTCTAAACTCTCTAATCTATCTCATCTCCCTCTCTCTCTCTCTCTCTCCCCGCGTGAAGCGATCATCTAAATGTTGACTACAGATTATCACTGCATTAGTTATCATGCAATCACCTGATTTGATATATACGTTTGTTGTTAATTGCTAGCATTGTTTGTGGGCTTTGTCAGTATGGTTTATTTGGGTGTTGCGAGGTCCTCCCGCACTCACGTCACTGTGTGAAAATACCACGATGGTTTGCGACCCTTTTCCTCTCAGGGGACGCCGTATTATCGGTGGACAGCAACATTGTCCTTTAATATAATTACGAAACACGATACTCAATCTGATTAAAATACAGATCTATATTTCGTTTCGTTTTATTTATACTTTCGATGGCCTGCACTACAAGTTATAGTGGGAGCTCACGCCAGGGGTCAAACGAGCGGCTTTTGACACTATGACGTCAGGCATTAATTAATCAATCAACGTTGACGTTACTAGTGGTTTACCCACAGTTCCGTACATTAAAAGTGCAAGAAGTCGCCGTCACAGACCGTTTCATTGGTTAATCACTCATATCATCCAGAACACACCAATGATAACTACTCTTCCAGATCCTAGTGTAGTAAAGACAAGTAAAACGAAATGTTGAACTATAAAAACGAACGAAATAGGATCTGTGTTTTAATCAGATTGATGGTACATTATAAAAGCCTAAATTTTATTGAAATATCTGACCTTGGTTATATTTCCACGATCTGGAATCACCATTTATTGAACAGCTATAACAGGTATACGCGGGGTGTCTTTCATCATTTTCATAACATTCTCCCTCAGACATACAAAAATCACCCTAAAAAGGATTGTTAAAAAATGTATAAGATGTATAATTTAAATTTTCTCGGAAATCAGAAAAACTTAATATTCCCTTTAATGCACAACACAAGTGAAGACATATAAATGGAGGAATAGTCAGGATCCGAATTGTGTGTGTAATGGTCTGGCTTTAATCGTACGAATAATTCCTTTGTGGGAATCACGATGGCCCAGCAGGGAGTAAGGCACTAGCCCAATGACTTTGAGGTCTCGGGTTCTCTTTGATTTGTCAGCGTTGTTTCCCCTTGTTAGTTCTGCGTACCAGGGCCTGGCTGAAAAGTGTTTAGGCGTTCGGGTGGGTCGAAAAAAAGAAACCCCGTTTACGTGTAAGTAACCTCCTTGGCAACTGAAATTCGAAGTAGAATAAACAACAACGCTGCTGCAAGGTTACACTTTCAACCATAGTACGCTGAATGGCATTTGTCCCTCATTATACGCCCATGAGGTACTGAATAGAAGGGCGTTCGAACCTATTTCATTTCAGTTCAGTTCTAATTAGCGGAACAGCGAAACGAATCCAATTTAGTCTACTGTCTGAAATCAGCTTGGTAATAAATTCTATAATTATTAGTCCCGCTAAGGAATAAAAACGGCACAACACAAACACGCTTTGAAACATGTGGTGGATCATATGAGTAGACACGCGTCTTCGAAGCAGACAAGCAGTTTAATTAAACATACCTTGTATGAACACTGTACTTGAATTCCAACTATGTTACATTGTTGACATCTAGAGTTATACACCACTGCCAGACTCTCGTTACTAAAGATGTCACCACTATTACTCACTGAAACACCATATACTATTCCATACTCAACTTCTGGTTTTATAGATGACGTCGAGTCAGGTTTCAGCAAAGGACAGATCACTTCTCCAATACTCTCGAAGACTGGTGAAGCAATTCGTTGTTCTTTGAATATTGGTGAACCTTGTTCAGTCAGCTGAAAAGGGAGTTAAGTTTCATTTCCATCACAATAAAACAAACCTGCCCATCAAACTCTTTAAAAGAATAGCGCGATGAACGGACGAGTGTACGTTCTTAATTAGCTATTTAAAGACAATAAATAATTACACATTTGAATAAGATCAAAGAAATACATATATGTTTTCTTTATTTCAAAAAAGATTTATCTTGCCTGAAATGTGCGTATTTTACAACGAATTGAATCAGTGTCAACAAAGTCTCCACCAAATGCTGAAATCTCTAAACAGTTGCTGTTTATAGAATCACAGTATCCATCATTGGTCACGTGATCTAACAAAGGAGGGATGTTGAGCGACATTGAACAATCTAGGCTTCCAAACCCGTCTTCACAGGTACAAATACCTTGATTACAGGTACCATGCTGAGAACATTCTGCTGGACAGGCTACTTCTTTAATCTGATCAAAGATGGATGTTTGGTTTGGTGTTGATTGTTGAAATCTGGTATCATAACTTACTTCATTAAAACACGAGGCTGTTATGGTTTCCATGGCAACCAGTGAAAAACTTGTGTCACCCGCTAACTATAAATAAATGTACTTATTGTTTTTACAAAGACATGTACACCGAACATAATTGTGACCCGTGCGGGCAGAATGAGTCGCAATGCTGATATTATGAAAATTAAGTTATTATTATTTCCATATTCTTCATTTTAAAACAAATTGACTGAGCTGTATCCGTTTAAAGTGGGCCATGTCATTTGTTTGCTATTTTGTCGACTATTATATCTCTCTGTAGGTTTCCGTGGGGGGGGGGGGGGCGACTGAAGACGAATATCGTATTACAAATTTGATCCGCCATATTTGTTATATAAAAAATGTTCATATATTTTGGCCGCTAACTGGAATATTTGTGACAAAGTACTCTATAACTTTAACCGAATTGAACGATCATTTAGGTGCATACAACTTATTGACCTAAGCTGGTTTTGATAATGTATTATATTGACTGTTCAACACTGTATATACTTCTGGTAAGGCACGAACTGGCTATGATCTAATTAAACATGTAAATAATCCCATATGTCATTTACAAACTACATATGATCTGTAAACAAGCTCCGTGACTTCAAAGGAATACGCACTGGTCAGTAATCATACTATCACATGATAAGAAGACAATACCAAATATGTTCATGAGTCTTATCTATTGTCGACCCGTATATAAACAAGGGTTTGCTGATAGTTAGAGAGACACGGAGACACGGGCGGGGTCGAGACGAGAGACAGGCGTATGGACTTACCCGCTGCCTTTCAGAGGGGCAGATTGGTGGATTTAATATAGTTATTACCGTCCTGATGTAGTTCCTGTATTGTTGTTGTAATGTAACTGTTCCGATGTAAATAAATCATATATTTACTAAACTGATCTCTAGTATCACTAAGATAGTGTTACATATTTCTCTCACGCAATACGGGGGGTTGGATGTAAATAAATCATATATTTACTAAACTGATCTCTATTATCACTAAGATAGTGTTACATATTTCTCTCACGCAATACGGGGGGTTGGATGGACGAATGGTTAGCACGTGCGTGCTGTATCATACGACCTGTCATTGAGTCAACTGGCGCGGTTTCGAATCCCCGGTTGTACGCGACAAGGAGTAGGGTCGCTTGTCCAACCTCGTGGGTTTTCTCCGAGTCCTCCCGAAATGACCTAGTTTGTGTCGAGTGGACGTTAAACCCCGTCAATCTTGATCATCAAGGAAGCCCCTATAGCTATACGGGTTTCCTGTTATCTTCGTCACGCGCCAAAATTAAAATAAGGTTTTGCGTATATATTAGGTCGTTTGTTATTTTGTGATTCGAAACAAACAACAATATCTATGTATATTTTACCTGTCACATAAACGGAATTAAACTATCAAAATTTGATCTTTTTAAAGACGAAACGAAATGTCAAATAAACTTATCAGGGAAGGCTGCATATATATCATTGGCAATTATCAATCAACGAATCGCTAATCTTTTACAACTGATTAGTATTACTCAGTGACACTATCTGGATTTTCGGCTAGCTGATTAATTGATAGTATTCCGCCAAGTGGTTGTGATTTTATTGCAATACTATGATATACTATGAATTGGGTAGATATCCACTTTCCATATTTAAAAGAACAATTCGGATATTCAAATATTGGTTAAAGTTAATTAACACCGATAATATAATTCTTAGAGGATGTTACAACAATATATGTGCATAAACAATGATAACTGGATAGGCTTGGATTAGGAAATATTTGGAAAAATAATGGTTTTGAAAATTCTAACCGCACATTGTCTGTAATAAAACTTCGTCTGTTTGATATTCTTTAACAAGAATGCCATGGAACAATCAGTGAATCGTCAAAATGTCGTATATCCAAATATATTGTGGATAAGTTTACAGTCAAGTTTTATCTAACTAAGACTTTCTAGCCATAATTTAAATATCGAGAAAGGCAGGTATGTCGAGGACGAGTATCATTTTATTCATATTTGTGCCAGATACGAAGACCTACGAAATAAATTTATAAGGCAATATTATAGTAAAAACCCAAGTGTCTATAAACTAATACAACTTCTTGCTTCTAAGAACACCACAGAATTAGAGAATCTGGGCCGGTTTCTATTTCAGGCCAAAAAGAGAAGATCGGAACTTATCATTAAAATATAATCCCCTCTCTAACTGTTGTTGTACACCTTATAAACATACTGTATAGATATATATATATATATATATATATATATATATATCTTTATTGCGTATATTTGTTTAATATGTTGTGTGTTTGTGTTTTTTCCGATGGGTCATTGACCCTAAGAAAATAAAGAACCAGACACTCAACGGCAATATATATGTGATAAGAATTTTAAGCGTTTTTTTCCGCCACTTCTCAGAAAGGATCAGAAGTACCCCAAAACATTATCGCCAAAATCAACTTTTTATCGTTAATGGGGATTAACGTCCTACTGTTCTGCTCCTATACTGGGCTAATGAACACGGGCAAGGCTTGGATGGCGGTCAGGAAAGCATTTTCTTCGGCCACCCTAAAAAAGTCGTTCTCAGCTGACATGACGTCATGATTAGAGGGAAAATGACGACGGACTAGTTCCTTTTCATTTTTGGAAACAGGTGAAAGTCTGCAGACAGAGTCAAATTTGGCCAAGAATTTATAGGGATGTTTCAAAACGGTACACCATTGTTACGGAACATCGGGAATCTGGCACGTTTCTGATTCGCAGCCAATAGCTTTGTCACCAATCAAGCAGAATTTTGTGTCATTCGTTGGCGATAATGTGCACAACCCTGGCATGAGAGATGCCCACAACATTGACAATATAAAATGAAATGAAATGGGGTTTAACGTCCTACTGTTATGCTACTGGCAATATATGTCGAATGGTCAATCGTCGATCAGCCTTCAACACAATATGCACTTCATCCTGTAAAGTCTCAAGGCAATAATAAAAATACAGTTCTTATGTCCATGAACCATTCAATGGTTGTACTTGTTGGAAGAAAAAGTTTGTTTCAACCCAATTAATCTACCCTTCTCGGGTTTAAAACTATTCAGCCAGCCATCGTTATTAACGTGCTGCTGTCCAACCTACAGATAACGCTACTGTCTCCTAATACATCCCACCTATAAAATTAACAAAAGGGAATTCTTACCTTAATATCTAAAATACAGTTGTCCAAGGCACCCTGTAGATTTACATTAGGGATGTTTTTACAAATCTGAACTATCGAGGAATTTAAAAATACACTATTGCAATAATCTTTTGCGGAACTCTCTGTCCATCCGTTTGTCCATGTTGTTTCAGCCTGAAAAACAATCTATTTTTCATTCAAATTGAGGTCAGGTTGGGTGACCAATTGGTATAACGTTCTCTATAGATCAGAATTATGTCACTGAGTCATAGTGTGGGTCTCACGTGTGTACGTGTCAAGGGTGGGTTTGTTTCTTTTGCTTTTTGTCCCCCGCCAGTCGAAGAAAGCAGGGGACTATAAAAATGTGTCCGTCCGTCTGTCTGTCTGTCGGTCTGTCCGTCAATGTCTTTGTGGAGTTCGAAGATGAGCATTTTCTGTTCAGTGTAAGCAGAGATATTCCATTTGATTGGTTGATGCTTTGGGACACCAGAACTTTAGTTCTAATTAAGTGCGAGTGATGAAATTTGGTGAATAGTTGTTTTTTTACATCATTACCTTGACTAAGTTCGATAATGAACATTTTCTGTTCCGGGTAAACATTCTTGACCCTTATGTAAAATTCAAAACTGACCGCCATCTTGAATTCCCCCCTCCCATATTGCGATATCACTAATCGCAGAAATTTGTATGAAAAAGGATTGAGTTAGCCCCAAAGCATATATTTTGATATCAACCACGGATTTTGGACTGTTTTTTTTTATTTAATTTGGTGATAGACCGATCGTAAAACATGGTCAGTATTTCTATTGCAGCAACATCCTGAACTATTGCGCACTGTTATTGGAACACAATAACTCTCTTTCGAATTGGGGTAGAATGTTATAACTTGGTGTAGGTGTTTATTAGGTCAATGCCTGGATGGAGTTGTTCAAGGATGAGCATTTTCTGCTTAGAGTAAGCAGAGATAAGCAATTTGATTGGTTGATCAAACCAGGCTCACAATTCAGTAACAAAATTCAGCAAAAACTCAGCTATATGTTCAACAATCTGCTAAGTTTAATAAATGATAAAAATACAAGAAAACAAAAACTTCAGATATACTCTAATTCGACTGGTAGGGAACTAATAAACGTACCTGTCGTTTGATAATAGTGTGACTGCGGCTAGTGACACTCCTCCTGCGAATATTAACTGTATTTCTTTCTCTCAGATCAAGAGTTACATTACATGTACTTTTTGATATGAATTTTTCTACTTCTACTTGGCCACACCTCCTGTCATTTTTACATACATTATCTTTGCAATCACAAATGAAGAGACCAGTATTAACAGCGTTCAGCTTGGTGACGTCATCTGAGAACAGACTGATAACCCCATCCTGCTCTACGCTATAACATACAGATTTGGTTGAATTAGACATGACATGATTATGAATCCAAGTTACTGATTTGTAAAACAAAGCTCTAGGACCGTATGTCCCAACCCTTTTCATTCGTTCACCCCCATTCGAGACCCAAACTTCTCATTCATCTCCTCTAGACCATAAACGCCAGGTTTCTATTAATATATATATAGCTGCATTCATGTTCTAGACTGAATCACGTGATACCAGACGCTGGCGATCAGACAATCCGTGTTAGTGCTATTACGTGTCGCCAATGGCAATTTTACCCATAAATCACGCTTGGGTCGCTTTGGATCTTTGTACACCACTGACATGGCGATCAATCTCGGGGAACTCCTCAAAAATACACCCCCAGTACATCCCTGACACCCGCCATTCACCCCTGGAAGATCCACTTGGACCCCGGTTGTATTAACCAAATATATATGTTTTTACAATTTAATCTTAATGATATGGATTACTGATTGTGAAGGTTATAATTACCTCCAGGAGTCAGAAAATGTCGGCATCCCCCATCTTTTATATGGCACCGCGGCACCATTTCTCTTTCGAAAAACATTTTCGTTTAAATTACCACACAAGCCATCAGCTAAAACCTCATCAGCAACGGAAGGAAATACATGCACCGTCATCTGTCCGCCATATCTAGCGATAGAGATAGTTGTCGAACTTGGAAGACGAATCTATCAATACAACAAATGGGCAGTTATAGTGTTATACATATTCGTTCAGTTAATCGTAAATTAAAATTACATTTATCAAGGAACACTTTAATGATGGACACATGTATCAGAAGTAACACAAATAAATAACTACATGTATAAGAATCAACATAAATAATTACTTGAAAAAGTCGAATTCGATATTCGAAAATCCGGCATGGTGGCGATTTTCACGATGGGTGATTTTAATGCAACGAATATCTTCGTTTTATTTGCGAATTAAATACACCTGAATATGTTTTCGAATTGACTGTGGTGAATTTATAATTAAAAGATAAAAGGACATACACTTCTCTGATTTAGGTAAAAAAAATAATGTACTGAATTGAATTATTTTTGGTGCGTAATTATTTCTATTAGGTAAAACTAATGAACGTAAAATTGTCAAAATAAATCAACATATACGGTTACTTAGGTAATACTCAGTTGAATGGGCCTAAAGACTTTGTAAATCACCTACCTTGAATTTACTTGAACCAACGCTTTTAACTTCTATTAAAGAAACGCCAGATGTTTTATCACATTGGGTATATCCTATTTTCCAGTAGTCGGCTGAACAGTGCTCTATAACATAAACTTCTTTACCAATAGATACGGCAACACCACAAATACATGTCACCGAGGAGCCGGGCCAACATGGTTCGGTCTGTATCTGTAACTGTTAAAACCAAAAGATTCACGAAAATAAAATATTACTTGTCATTAAAATGTTGAATACATCACAGGAAATAACAGTAGTCTGTAGATCAACCAATGGGTTTTGGAGAATAGCATTTTTTCCCCTAGTCCCCAAGTGGGTGTCGCACCGGTCAGGTCTAATATTAAGGCTACCTGTGGGTGTTGTGTTGTGTTAGTAAAGAAACACATAGTAATCTGCCCACAAATTAAACTGTGGAAAGACTCCATTCAAGTAATTCCTTTTATATACACTGAAGTTTTTCAGTCATCCCTGACATTCGGTAGTGGGGGGAGTGTGCAATCTACCTTCGAAATATTTATCTTATTTCAACCGTAATATCAAGCAGGTATTGATATACATTATTTTGATGTATTATTGATATACATTGTTTTAATCAGATTGTTTATCCAGATTATAAAATAATTATAAAGGTGAGTCTCGAAATTATAAAATTAATTTCTCGAAATTATAAAATTAATTTCTCGAAATTATAAAATTAATTTCTCGAAATTATAAAATTAATTTCTCGAAATTATAAAATTAATTTCTCGAAATTATAAAATTAATTTCTCGAAATTATAAAATTAATTTCTCGAAATTATAAAATTAATTTCTCGAAATTATAAAATTAATTTCTCGAAATTATAAAATTAATTTCTCGAAATTATAAAATTAATTTCTCGAAATTATAAAATTAATTTCTCGAAATTATAAAATTAATTTCTCGAAATTATAAAATTAATTTCTCGAAATTATAAAATTAATTTCTCGAAATTATAAAATTAATTTCTCGAAATTATAAAATTAATTTCTCGAAATTATAAAATTAATTTCTCGAAATTATAAAATTAATTATTCGAAATTATAAAATTAATTATTCGAAATTATAAAATTAATTTCTCGAAATTATAAAATTAATTTCTCGAAATTATAAAATTAATTTCTCGAAATTATAAAATTAATTTCTCGAAATTATAAAATTAATTTCTCGAAATTATAAAATTAATTTCTCGAAATTATAAAATTAATTTCTCGAAATTATAAAATTAATTTCTCGAAATTATAAAATTAATTTCTCGAAATTATAAAATTAATTTCTCGAAATTATAAAATTAATTTCTCGAAATTATAAAATTAATTTCTCGAAATTATAAAATTAATTTCTCGAAATTATAAAATTAATTTCTCGAAATTATAAAATTAATTTCTCGAAATTATAAAATTAATTTCTCGAAATTATAAAATTAATTTCTCGAAATTATAAAACTTATTTCTCGAAATTATAAAACTTATTTCTCGAAATTAAAAAAAGCATTAATTTCTCAAACAAAACAGGATTTCACAACATCCAAATCATGATAAATTCTAAGTATCAACACAAATAATTTCTTGAATTACATGTACGATTTTTGAAAAAAAATGAACCCCTCCTCCACTCTCGAAATAAAATCGCCCCCCCCCCCCCCGCCTCCCAAATTAATCGAGGTTACCAACATTTTATAAAATTTATAAAGCATCTTCTTAGACCTCTTTAAATTGTAAATAAAAACCCCATAAAAACTGAGAGTATTGAAAATAATTAAGTAGACTTTAGAAAGATTTTATCTTGTCAACTCACCTCTTGTGTCCATTCCTTATTTCGATACATGGTGTAAATGCCTTGATATTGATGTTCATATGGTCTTTAAAAAAGATAAATAATTACAATGAACAGGCATATTTCTTTTCTGTTTTCTTTTATTTAAAATGGTTTATTATGCACGTTTAAGCCAAAACAAATCGGTGTAAAACTTGTGAAAGTTTGAAAAAGAACACAACCTAATCCAATCTCCATAATGTTAACAACTCAGTTTAAAGGGCATTGATGTATTGTCTTTATTACATAATTTATTTAAAACCCCTATGCGTTTTTTTAAGGTACAATATTTTGACAGGTGAATCTATATTAGGAATATCGGTCTAACAATTATTTAATTCCGTTTGATATTATACAAAAATATGTCAAATTAAAATGTCACCGATCTATGCTCTTCGATAAACAATAAGCCTAGAGTCGGATGAAGGGATCAGCCAGCCGACGCGTCTCGTTCATATGCACCCCAGTGAAGAGTTTTCGAGGATCGACCCCAGACAATTTTGAAAATTACATCGCCGTAGATGAGATTTGGGGTACTTTCCTATGGAAAACCAAACAGCTCTTTATTCAGTGTTCTTAGTTCTTAATTCATAGTCCTTAATTCTTATTTCTTCATTCTTGTCGTATTTCGACATTTGTATACTAAAATTAACATTTGTATCTGAAAATCAATATTTGTTTTACAACGCAGACATTTGTCATATCAGATTTGTAAAATGTATTTTTGTTTAATTTAATTTTATTTTAATATAAAGATAAAGTTTATTTTAGTAAATATATAAAGATAAAATTTATTTTAGTAAATCAAAAAAATAATCTACATTTACATTTACCATAGACATACAACGAAAAACCAACAAATTTCTAAATACAAATCTTCAAATACAAATCTTGTAAAGCATTTCTTCAAGAACATTTCTTCAATAATATTTCTCCAAAAACATTTCTCCAAAAACATTTCTTGAAATTGATCGAACCGGAACATTATGACGACATGAGCGGAAATCAACCTGGCATACAATAAGTTACCATACAAAAAAGGAGAATCGAGCAAAGATATATACAATCAGAAAAATCGATCGATGACCGCGTTAGTGAAATCGCGATGTGTGTTATGTCTCTCTCTCTATATATATATATAATGGTTAATAAAATAAATTGAAAGTGGTGTGTTCCCAGAAATTAGGTTTTGTCTCATAGCGACATATGTCTTTGGTCAAACGAAAGAGGGCTTTATCTCTTCTATATCATGTAATCATAAATGTGCCAGCATTATACGATAACTGGGATTTCGTATTTAGACGCGTATTTTGATTTTTAAATACCCCTCACCAAACAGAGTTCAGACGAAAATATGAATATGCCAGAAAATATTTTACAATTTTGAAAATTTATTCGGACCTTTTTAATGGTATGCAAAATGAAATGAAATGGGTTTTAACGTCCTACTGTTCTGCTCCGAATTGGACTAATTAAGTCGGGTATACGCCATGCAGTGTGCTATGAGGGAAATTTTGCCCGGACAGTGGCACTACGGCCTACTCTTATATCGAATTCCAATTGTCACGGGATCTTTTTAAAAGCACAGCAATGTGTACACTACACGGACCTCAGTTTTTCGTCCAATCCTAACGACTCAATGCTATTTCCCGAAGAACTTTTTCGGCCACCACCGATATCGAATAAGGTGTGCCCATCCTCATTAGTCGAAATAATAGTAAATTGTAGGACCTCCCTGTATTAAGTATGTCCATCTTCATCATTCCGGTTGGTGCAGAAAAGTGGGACGTTTAACCTTATTCCAATAATATTCGTCACTGCGAAAAACAAGGGCGACATATTTATTTAGCGTAAGGCATCTGACATTTCCTCCATGACAAATGTGGTGAAAACATGATAACAAGATTATGGGAACCTTATTCAGGCCATATAGCGTCCTTGGCAAGGCTTTCCCGAACTCATCAAGGTTACCGAGCAATATGCATTTTTTGAACATAAAGAGCATTTTCGATATAGTTTGGAGATTTTACTCGGACAGTGGTTCTGCAGTTGTTATCCATCCACTCTCTTCAAACAAAGATGACAAGAGCAAAATCCCCTTAGCCAGCTGTAGAGCCCCCAGAGATAGAGTGAAAAATTATTTCAATTGTAAATGATGAATTAAACAAATTTTGGAGAATTGTGTTTGAAAAAAGTACCAACAAAAAAACGCAAGCCAAGGTTTGCATTTTCAGTTATTATAGGACTAGCCAATAGTTCTAGCTTAATTGCTTAGAAACACAATTTCGCTACATGGACCCCTTAGCTAAACAAACTATAACACCAGTAAGACCAATCCGAGAGGTCCCCAAAAATATTTGCACATTCTCGATTCAGGGCTTGATGAATATCGTTAAGTTGGCATAACACCTGATATTGGCGAAAGCACCCGATACCTTGAAGTGTGTGTGTGTATGGGAGGGGTGGGGTGCGTTGCATCATAAGTTTGTCATTGAGGCAAGTGGAGTGGTTTTGATTCTGCGCGTGTACGTGACAAAGAGTAGGGTCGCCTGTCTCAACGTCGTGGGTTTTTCTCCTTGTTCTCCTGTTTCCTTCCACTGCACTAAAGTTCCTACGCGCAAGCGAGTTAATGAAATAAAATTGAACCATATGTAAGTCAACAACGTTCGTCATCATAACTACATGAACAAACAGCAAATTCAATCTCTTAAAGTGTTTTCTTTTATGTTTATATTGACAACATTTATACAGCTCTGTACAAGACAACTTCGCCAATGTTTCTGGTGCGGTTTCTCTTGTTAGTAGGTGCAGTCTGGAAAGAACGGTGCCTAAACCTTCGAATGGGACGGATTGAACAACAGGCAAAAGCCTATATAAATTCTCTCAAAACAGTGTTTCTTCTAGTATAGCTGTAAATGTCTAGCTCAGATGAGATTTGAGACTAAATTCCTAACAAATATTTGATTTGAAATAAAGCATATATAAATGTATAATTTTTTAATTAAAATAGACATATGACAAAAACAAATTAATACTTTATGGGAGTGGCTATACTGCATAACAATTATTGATATTTGCCGTAAAGAAAGATAACACATTGTACCTAATGTACCGTTATTAGATTTCCAAAATTCCGTGTGTTCCCTTGAACTTTATTTATCTTGGAACTCTCAGATTTGTGTTCCTGGTGTTATAAGCTTCAGACAATGTATAGTTGGTTTAGCTATGGGCTGCAAGAAGCGAAACTTCACACAAGAAATTCTGGCTGCAGGCCTTTTGCTAGCCTTGTAAAAATATTTATTTTTTGAAAATATTACTGGTGGGGGGGGGGGGGTACCGTATCTTGGCCGATAAAATCTTTATCCGGCTCTGATAGTTTAAGGCATGTGATTTGCGATTCGCTCTCGAGCACAATGATAGCAATAATATGTTCCACGCATAAACAAACACCAATAATACAAATCTGCGTACAAGTAGAGAAAACAAATGGGATCTTGCCCTAGCACTGATGATTGATGGGGTGCCGCATGGGCGCCGACACACTGATTACATCCATGTCAAAGGTGCCCCTTTCTCGGATTAAGGGTCATGGGGCCCTTTTCTTGTAATCGCGGGGGGGGGGGGCACAGAATTCGTGGTCCCTGCCTTAGAGGGGTCCACGCCACCAGTGGCCTTCGTTTCAGTTCCATCTAACGTATTACCATGTCTGTAGTTTGTTTTCAACGTTTATACTGGCTTTTTGTGACTACTGCACGTGACTACTCTGTGGTGACATAGCAGATAAGCTGTCATATTTTTGAGCATGGGTGATTCCTGTTGGATCGAAACCACGACGACAAATCAATACTCCTTATTCACTTCCTGTCATATCATATAGAACTTATTCATTCGCTCATCACTAATAAACTAGATTAACACAATGCACTTCTATACAATATACCAGAATATAAAATCAATCAGATACAGTGAATCCCAAATTCAGCAGCAAGATTGTTAACGGGCAGCAGAAAGTACCAACACATAACACCAATCTTGAAACAACTCAATTGGCTCCCTATTGAGCAGAGAATTGTGTTCAAAATACTCCTGCTTACTTTCAAAGCTCTAAATGGTTCGTCACCAAAATATCTTACAGATTTGTTGATACCGTATGCATGCAACGGAACACTGAGGTCGTCTGACAAAAACCTATTGACAATACCGCCGATACATATCGAAACAACAAAACAACTGCTTTCCAAGACCAGTATTGAAAAATTTGTCTAGCGCAATAGAAACTTTAATTAGTATTGTTGCGCGAACATAAATTTAGATATATTATTATTATTACCTCAAAATGGAACTACTAGACTTTTCTTTCCAAACGAACCGAAGGGACTATCTTTATCAGAAAGAATTCATTTTTTTCTGTATGGTCGTTTATTATGAATCATATACACTTTGTTATTGCCAATTTAATAATTTCGCCATTTATTCATTCATTCATTAATTTCAAAATATTTTCGTTTTTGTTTATCCCAGAGAAAGCCTATTCGATGGAAATGCTTAAAGTGGATCAATTTCATTATTATTTCAATTGTTTTCAAGAACGTTTAACTGTTAACTGTTTTAACCCCTGTTTATTATTCGAGATGGAATTGGAGTAAGAATAAACTTGCAAATCAATGAATTACCAACGGACATGAATATAACCTGTGGGGAAATAATTCCAGTGGTGCAATGAAATGACAAGTAAATACATCATATTACATCAAATACACTGTCATAATATTTCAATAAATTTAATTTAAAAATTGAGTACATACATATCGCGAAACGTATACATGTGCGGATCAGGTACAGCATAACACACTTTACCCTCTATTGCTGCTGCATTAGTTGTGACTCTAACCTGTAATTAAAATGTTTAAACTGCTTATCGGTACTTACGTGTTCCGGCGAAATGTTAAGAAGCGAGAGTCGTATAAATAGCGTTGGTAATGAGCTCGGGGTGGTTTATATGATATTTGAAGTGTATATTTTACGACTTGTAAAAATAATAATTCAAAGTAAATATCTCCGTACAAAAATCAAACTACGTCACATATATAGTATCCTGTCATGCTGCATCAGTTGATACACCATGCAGTATGCAGAGTTTTTTTATCTATTAAAAAACTTTGAACTTTCATTTAGTGAGTTTAGCATGAGATATAACCCATTTAATAAAACATTTTCCTTAACAAATATGATAAAACAGTCATCTATTTATAAGAAAAATTTCCATGAATGTTCAATCTGTAAGTTTAATTTCAAACCAAAACGTTTCTTAAACATTAAATCAATTAACTTTTTAGATGTAACAGTAACATTATCTGAAAATGGCACGCGCCAGTATTTAGATTTCAATTCATGTTGCCCTCTCATAAAAAAGAAACATCTCATAATAACACAACTTTATGGATTTACCACTTCTTGGTTTATTACATGCTCTTACAGGTATCTTTATCAAGCAATGATCAATAATGAATAACAACCTTACATTTATAGTACACCTATGAGTAAGACAATTTAACAATACAACAACAGCCATATTTCCCTTTGAATATGACTTCACGACCTCCCTTATTCATAACAAATTAAAACGGGGTATGGCCATAATTTGATCACGTTTACCATTTACCATAGTTATTTAAAAGTGAAAAATTTAAATATATCATAAACAAAACAAATGTGATCAATAGTCTAAAACAACCTCCGAACTTGAGACGAATTCTCACTTCCTTCAAATGTGGAGATGAAAGATCGCAAATTCAACGTATTTCTCTTGTACAAATTGAATTTTTCAAATAAAGATTTGCTAAAATGTAAAGAAAATTATTTGATCGAAAGGTACAAACCAGAATTAAAAAAACCGGATATTCTCTTTTTATTGATTATTTACTTAATGTTGAAATATGTAAATATTATTATGTTGCATTTGATATTTTTATAGTAACGCCAAGACGTCGCGTCTATTATTCTACATAATCTGTCATAAATAAAAATAGCCTGATGATGTTCAGTACGGACATAAAGCGCTAGCCGTTAAAATAGTGTGTTGGTGTCTTTCTTTAATTTAGTTTATATATATGTATTGTTTAATGGTCGAGAGCGAGACATTAAGTAATATATTGTAACAACAAGAGGACCGTCAGGTCCGAGTGTTTTTACAATATATTACGCAATGTCTCAGCTCGAGACCATTAAACATCTTAAAATACAGACACTCCGCACGTGCGTTTACAGTGAAATACGTCACTCGAGTCTAATATTTGACAAGGTACGATTGGCAAGTTGCCCGTACAATTATTTGAAATAATGGTACGCCAACATCAAAGGGTGACGTCACATCTGTATTTTAAATTGTAAGAACATGAGGGCAGTAATACAATATATTACGCAATGTCTTAAGCTCGAGACCATTAAACAACTTAAAATACAGACACTTGCACGTGCTTTTCAATGAAATACGTCACTCGGGTTCATTATTTTAACAAGTTACGCTTGGCACATTGCCCGTGCAATTATTTGAAATAATGGTCGCCAACATGAAAGGATGACGTCACATCTGTATTTTAAATATATATATATATTAGCTCGGAGTTGTATATATATATATATAATATATGCATAGTATTAACATTCAAATAAACGTTGATTTTATCTATGTTTATTATATGGCAGCAATGAAGCAGTAATACACATATTCAAAATCAATTTTTTGATGAACCAGTCATCGGAATTATATGATTATTGTGAACCGCTGTAGCTCAGTACGTAATACGTTGGGTCGCTAAGCTAGAGGTCTCGTGTTAGTCGAGAAAATTCAAGTTCTTCCGACATAGATGGCAGGGGACGAACAACAGAGGTTCGATGTACAAATTGGCGTCCGCGTAAAAGAACCATTAGCAGATGGAATTAAAATAAGAGTAGGTCGTGGCTCCGTTGTCCGGGCAATATGTTAATCATAGGACACTGCAGCATGACGTATGCCCGTTGTCATTAGCCGGGTAGGTGCAGAACACTTCATTTCTATTTCCATTTTCAATTAATTTCACTCCTTTTCAATTATATGGTTACTCTTATAACAATATGATTACTTTCGACGGGTACTACCTACATTAAGATAATGGTACTTACTCTAACATCGCCAAATTCATATTTTGCCCAGAGTGGATGATCCAAAAAGTATTCGGGTGTTTTAAACCTTAAAATCTGTACAGCAAACTTTTTTCCATAGGAAGTAGGAAAACTGGGCATGACAACCATAGAATAATTTCTAATTGAGTTCTTGGCATCTAAATTAATGGAACACCGAGACAATACTGGGTCGGGCAGACAGGCATCATTTTCCGTGGGCTTGATTAAGTTGACCGCGAGCTTACAACCATTACAAACACCAATTTCTACTGTTGGTCTTACAACTATAGTCGCATTCGTATCTTGTTGCACGTCAAGATCTGGTGTCAATATCTACAAAAACAAGTGTTAAAACCTAATGGAGGCCAAAAGTTGTCATTCAATTACTTTTTGAACCAGGAACTCATCCTTATTTTGTTGTTTTCCTTCTCCTTGAGGAGACGCTCTTCTAGAAACTCTCAAGGCTCCGCCAATTCATGTACTTTCGACAAGAAGCTTGTGGTAAGTTTCATCATCGGGCAAATGCGGAACGGTTGACGTACTTCGATTTACATTATGTGATCATACAACCGAGCGCCAGTTGTATCGTGTAATTTGTCATTACTCCTATATGCTAATTAAAATTATTTAAATCAGATGTTACCTCAATGCCGATGAATCGATCTACACTGTCTGTTCTTCGACTCAATTCTGAATCAAGATCGTAACTTACAGAATAACCACATCGGATCTAAAACGAAATAGTGATTCATGTAACGTGTATTAATAAATGGAAGGGGTATCTTCCTGGCTTAATAATTTAGACTATGCAATAGCATCTTTATCAAAGACAGCTAATGTAAATAACCAACATTAATAATATTGTCAAATTACACGGTTCATTCTAGCAGACATAAACGATTCAGTACAACATTGGCCCAATCCCGGCTTCACTTGAGGTCGAGAGTCAAGTAGTCTAAACATTTTGCGATACAGTGTTACTTGCTGTCTGTTACCATTGGTGTGATAAAGTTAGTCCACGGATGTTAGTAGAGTATGATGTAGTGTGACCAATGCATCTTAATGAATGAAATTTAATGAAATGGGGTTTAACGCCCTACTGTACTGCTCCTAAACTGGGCTAATGAAGACGGGGATACGCCATACAGTGTGCTATGAGGGAAATGTTTCCCGGGCAGCGGCGCTACGGCCTACTCTTAGTCTTACATCGAATTCCCACTACCAAGGGATCTTTTACGTGCACGCCATCCGAACGACTAGACAGCTGTCCTTGTCAGACCCTCCGTCCTGCATCACTGACAAGGGGAAGCCACGCCGGAAAATCTGGATGAACGTGCTCGACCAATGCAGGCATCGAACACCCGATCTCCAGGCTAACGAGCCAGCGTCTTACCCACTTAGCCACCGTGATCCCCCAACCCATCTTAATGAAATCTAGTATAATACCTGGAAACCAACACTTGTTAGACCAGTGTCATCTTCATTTAGTAATGTCGTTGTTTTGATATCAGCTGTTTTCTGTACTGCAGGGAATTTTTTAACAAGCTTACTGTCAATATACCACGTGACTGTGTACCAGATTTCAGCATGCTCTGCTTCAGTTGACGGCATAAAATCACAAACAAACTGGTACTTCTTATTGGTTTGACTTAGTGGCAGTATATCAACACTCACATTGGTTTTATATGTCGGGTAATTATCTACGAATTATATAATACATATAAATATATAACATTAGGCGTCAGCTGCCTAGCACACGACACCCGTTGGTAACATTAACTAAATGAATTGAGAGCTTAAAGGAGCTAAATCGCTAACATTTGGGACCTAGAAATTGACAAAAGTGGGTCGCAACGCATATAATACTGTAATATGAATGTATATAAACTGATTTACATTCAATGGTTTCCGTTTTTACTCAAATTTCAAATCAGTTATGTTCGGCGAAATAAGCCAGCAGTCTCAAGCTAGTGCAACTTTATAGCGTCTGGTTATTCCGGTCTACATACGCCGTTTGATTTGGGGCAATGTGTCTCTTGATACAACTGGGGCTGAAGCGCATTATGGTACACGATTCGTGTACCAATGGTAAAATGTTTATTTTGTCTTAAATATTGGATATCAAAAGCCCATCTTTTTCCGGTAAGATTTGACAAATAATTTGTGTTTTCAATGTTGAAGATTTTGGATGATATTGAGTTAGAGACTTAGCTACTTTAAGGTTGGATTGCAGACGACGACGATGTCTTTGCAGATTTATAAACATTCTCGTTTACTAGATAAGTCGACAAGCAGTTGCTTGTGCCGGTGTATGTGGCGTCTGAAATCCAAGTTCAAATTCTTCGTTTCATATATAAAAGTATTTTAGAAAACTTCTCATGTTATGCTATATTTGTCAACTTGTATATCAGCCTTCTGTAAAACACCATATATTTAAAGAAGAATTGTTCGAGAGCTACATTTTTCTTTTGCTGCGCGTAATTCTTGCATCAAATGACCAACGATTATCTTCAAATGATGATTGATCATTGCCATTTCTACTATATGTTTCGTTGTTTGAATGTGCCACATGCGAAATAGGTCATATTGGTTTAAAACTATAACGTATTTGTGACACACAATCGAGCTTTCATGTAGGTAAGGCTTATACGTCGTATATATTCTTTGAATGGCATTTAGTAACTGGAACATAATCAAATAACACACTATTTATGGATAACAGTTACTATGGTTTATTTGACTGTGACGTTTCACAAGTCCTTATCAAGCATAAATCAACACAATTTTTAGATTTTATATTGTCTATTTGCGTTAATATAATTGTGCCTGACAACGACTTGTGACATCTAACATAAATAGTGTTTTATTTGTTCATACGTCGGGTAAAATCGCCAGATCACGGCTATTAACCCTTGTGGGTGGACGTTGTGAGAATCACATAGCGGGTATCAGAGGTCCATATGGACCCCAGTTTTAATTCAAAGTTTTTACGTGAAGATATATTTGAATTAAAAGGCAGTGGATTGGTTTTTATTTGCATTCATATTTGGCATCTGAAAAACAACTAAATTATTATCCAAAAACATTTTAGTGACATATGGAAAGATTTAACAATTCTTACCAAATTGTTACTTTGTGTACTATGTAATAAAGAGGTTAAATGGCAATATACGTTTGATACAAAAAACCATTGAATATTTGGAATTCATCATATACTTGTTGGTATTTGTAACACGTAGATGCTAAAGGAGAGAATACTCTAGCATACGCAATATGGAATCAAGCAGCACACAAATTAGCAAAATTCCAACTGTATGTTCTCTTCAAGCGTTGGGCCTGATTTGCATGTAACATAATTGTGCGTGTGGGAAGCAGATGAATACCAACGGCAATCACTTCGCTACGTTTAAAAATGTATAGGAGACAAAGTCATTAAATTTCAGAGAAAAGTGCTCAGTAGTTATTACAAAACACTATAAAACATATGCATGGGGTCCACGGAGGCCCCACGTGCACCGGCAAGGGTTAAGATCCGTATTGGGGAGTAGATAATCGTATATATTTATGGGATAACATACATCACTACCATAAGGTTGATATAGTTGATATATTTATTGTCCACGTAATCATGTGAGATGAACCACAAGAGGACACAATTAGAAGTGTTCATGGGACAGTTCCGGCAGCAAATACAAGCAATGTAGGAAATTAACGAAAACAGTATATGTTGGAAATTAAATTGATAATGAAAAATATTTTACCTCTGATTTCAACTGAAAAAAAAAGTTTAATTGTAAAATCACTATGGTTAAATATACATAATACACATACTAATAATTGTTTTTTTTTAAATTATAACTTAGCCTTTGACAAAGGAAAATGCGCCAGATATATTTCGATTATGATAAAATCAACTAAGAAGATATACTAGCTTTCCTCTGCCTATTCTACATACAAAATGAATATTACTACATGCATAGAATGCTACTGAGTAGCGGTGGCTCGGTGTGTAAAATACGGTGCTGGCAGAGTAAGCTCGTCCTGATTTTTCGGCTTGGTTTCTCCTTGTCAGTGGTGCAGGATGGATCGACCTAGATTGGAAGAACATTAACAATCCGAGTAGAAAAATGATCTTTGAAAGGGGTTAGGCTTGGCGCAAGGGGTATCAAGCTAATTTTGTTTTCTTATTTTACAACAATTCTTCACCACATAAGGGGCCAAAGAAAACCAGCTGGTCAAAGGGATCAGCGCTATCCAGCGGCCGCTGCACTACATTATAAACAAGAGCTAACACATTTATATAGCTTTAAATAAAACTCACCAATACAGTATGCAGATGCGCTTAAATCTATGCGTTTAAGATTATACACAAACATGTTCAACTCCTGACAATAGTTTGTCTCAATTTGTTTCACTTCCAGGCAGGTGTCATCTCCGGACTGAGCACACACTATGGCCGTACTCAGCGAGCTATTGCTATAGACAGCATCTGAAACGAAGTACATTGTACATGCATTGCATTGTGGAATAGTTGTAAAACCCGACATATGGAGACCGTCGACAAAACTCACGGCTAGCTTTAACTATTTAATGTTTTATTCTGTAATGTCTCGCTTTCACATGGACTATGAATGCCACGAATCACGCCGAATCCAAACATTTTAAGATTCGTAGATATATCGTGGGCAGTTCTTGAAGTTCGTAAGTGATTTTTGAAACAAAACCTTTCGTGACCCGCTTTCACATGGCCTACGAATACAAACCTTTTCCAATTCGTAGATAAATCTTAGACGGTTTTTGACGTTCGTAAGTGATTCTTATTTGGTTCTTACATATTCGCATTGTTCGTAGTTCGGGGATGTATTGTAAACCCGTCGTAGACCTTTGTTATCGTCCGTAACAGCTTCCTGTTCGATTTTTTGACGAATAATGCCAAATATAGTAAACTTTTCGAAGCTTTATCGGCATCATTCCTGGAAAGCGTAGTTTATTCGTATCTGACTTCTGCATAGTCGTAAGCAATATTCTTTCCTACCTTTAATGCAAACCCTACCTTTATATTCGGCATACTTTTAACCAGATTATCGTAACTCCATTTTTAACCCTTTCGTAAACTATTCGAAACTGCTTGGTATAGTTAGTCCAGATCCTCTACGACCTTTTTGATTTTGTTTTGCCGAATCGCCACAAATTTCCACCAGGCAGTGTTTGGGGGGGGGGGGGGATTCGTGCCATTCGTATCTCACGTGAAAGCCAGGCATAAAGCGGATATCGTTGACTTAGCGACAAATAACTTGATAAATAGAAAAATAAAATATCTCCACAAACGGATCAAAGTCGCCATTTTATATACATAATATTAAAATTTATTGATGGTTTATTAAATTGTTAGTAACCAGTCTGAAGTCAGGAAGTAGGTGTTATGTCACCAAGGTGTTAACACTGTGACTATTATATGTTATTGAGTGTCTAAATGTATAATTTTTCACATGTCGTTCACGATTATAATCATTCCCTCGCAATACTTCTCCTCTTCCTGTCGCTCTCACTCAAGGTCATGGTCTACTGTTGCATAGTATATACGATTAGATATGAAAATACATGATCAAATTGTTTCCACAGCTTTTTAGCACCGCCGAAGCTGAAAAAAACCTGCAGTTTTTGACGAGCTTTTTAACGAAAATTCGATAAATCATTGTCCAATCGATGCGAAAATGTTTTCAGTGTGTCCGAAAACACAGGACAAGAGGTATTGGAAGCCATCCTTTATATGTTATAGAAGTAGAATTCCGAGAAATCTGTATTTTGGGCCGCCATCTTGGAACAATGGCGTAGTCTAATCGAAATACCCAATTTTGACAACTGATATCATTATATTTGGTTATAACACACTAAATCGACATAGAAATACAAATGTTTATTTGTTTCATTCCGAAAACTCTAATTTGTGTCCAGCCCTACAAGAAGACTTTTCGCAGTACCTCTGTGAAACAGATTGGCAAAGTCTGTGTAGTTTTTTCTTTTATCCTTCCTCTGCCCAGGTTTGTCTTATGGGTTTTGTTTGCGTGCAGTGTGATCCTTCTGCTCTTACTATTATAGTATTCCGTTGTTTATTGTTTACCGTATAACTAAAAACAATTAATCAAATTTGAATGCTTACCTTTTAAGTATAAGGGATATATTGCTCCACAATGATTAACACCAGGTGGGTCCACTTCAAGTAGTTTAACATTGGCTTGTCCATACCACCCTTCATCAATAAATCTATCAGATAGTGGCGTTTCTTCAGAGGTTCTATTATTTGATGACAATCTTCGCTGGAAGTTTGCGTATGACTTCGGTGAGTCGCACGGACCCGCTGATAAATAATAGTATATCACACATTATAATTAGAACATTTTACGATGATTATGAATGAGCCAAACGTAGAAATTACATGTAAAAAAATGCGCTGCTTGAAGTTGAGCCACCAATTTATAATTAATAACATTGATTTGAATGAAAATATTGTTTGAATAAAATAATATCACACTGGGATTGCCTAATTTGTTTTACTTTGATATAAAAGTCACCTTCATGTTTATCTTATATCCACTATCCCCGATTTCTTAAATTACAAGGTTCATTATGTTAATATTTTCAATGTACTAGATTTTATTTTTTTAATTCTCCGATCACGCTTCGTTGTATCTGTGCTTAAGAAATGTACCCCCCCCCCCCAGTATGCGTAACAGAGAATATTGTGAGTTACGTCCCTTACCTTAAAACGGGATTCGGGCATTATCGATGTCATCCTTAACAGTATATTAAACGAAGATAATTTTATTCCAAACCAAGATATTATCAATAATATAAACAAGAGTCTTTGTTCAAAGTTGTCTGATTTGTGTTATAGAGTAATCCCTATCCCTATCGCAAACCCCATAGTAAGTATAACATTACATGGCGTGTGTTTGTGTTCGAAAATGACTTTATAAAGAATAGAAATATATTTAATAAAACAAAAACTGATCAGAGCCGAGCTGATTTAATTACAAGTTGGACAAAATATAATAATGCTAAAAAACATGCTAAAATATTGTACTGATATAGTTCTGGTTTACAATTATGTTAAAATGCTAAAGACAACCCGAAAGGATTCTGGAGAGATATTCAATTTTATACAAATGGTAAAGATACACTACAACATTCCTCCCAGCTGAATTTGTTTGATTTTCATGACCAATTTTAGGATGTTTTTCAATGTCATGGTATACTCAACTCATAAATGAACTAATCTATATTAATAGAGTATATGATAATGTCGTCGCCTACCTTGATAATGAATTCACAGTTTCAGAAATACAAATAGCAATTTCTAAGCTTACGGCAGTCAAAAGCGTTGGAAGAGATGGTATTATTCCAGAAATAGTTTTTTTGATATTTTGTGCGTACAATTGTGTATGAAATTGGTGTGTATCCTTCAGAATGGTCAAATTGTAATACTTAATTGTAATAATTAGGACAGTTTAATTATTTGTTCAAACCCTATGTGTATGTGGTTTTTGGGGGTGGTTTGAGATAGTACTAGTTAATTCTCGTTCAAACATGTATTGTATATACATGTAAAATGTAAACAGTTCATGGAGATGGAGTGCCTTTCGATACCGGACGTCGAGAGTTCTCGACACAGGTTATTTCCATAAGAATGCCAAACATCGAGTGTTGTTGAAATGCGTTATTTTTAAGTACAAAGACTGTGCGTTTAGTTCCCAGTAGCGTTGACTCTCATTGTGCCTTTTTTACTCGCGTTTCTTTCCAAATATTTGCAAGTCATGAGATTTATCATAATTTTAGGCTATGAGATTTATGAAAAACACCTCTTTTACTACTATGTGATTCACACGTTGGGGCATAAAATTATATCTCAAGGTTCCTGACAAATTCATTACATGTTGTAAACGACAAAGTCGTATCTCCATTTATCATATTCCAGTTAGACCAAATTGAATCACTCTGCATTAAGAAAAACCTCCCACTCAGCTAGCTTCTTATATTGATAGTTTCAACAACTGTGAAAATTAAGTAAAAACTCTCTCAATTTAATAAAAAGTGGAGATAGAATCAGTTAAACCTCATCCCACGATATACTAAAATATTGGATACGTATTATTTCATCTAACACAAGTCTATTGTATCAGGTGAGGTGTACAATGCTATTCATTACGATGTATCTATGATAATAAAAATAAAGGCTTTAATTGTTTACTGGAATCTCTTGGATTTGCCTCAGTTTTCGATGATCAGTTTTACAGAAATGGAACGAAGATCGCTCGAAATATTCAACACTTAAATATTACAATAGTTAGGGCATCTGTTCAGCCATTATTTTGCGCTTGCATGTGCGTGCACGTGACCTTGCACGTGTGTGACTTTGCACGTGCGTGACTTGCACTGGATGACCCCTTGCAGGTGCGTGACCCCTTGCACGTGCCTGACAGGAGGGTGAGAAAAGAGAGGGACGAGAGAGAGCGGAAGAAGGGAGAAGAAGGGGGAGAGGAAAACCAAAGGAAGGGGAGACAACTCTTTTTGCATTGATTATGTTGGCCCTGAAAAGGGCCGTTGGAATGTGAGGGTTCCTTAACAGGAACACTTCGGGAATTTTCCGCCAAAGACGGTGGCCGCTTCTGGCATATGAGTAGATGTTTGGGTCGTCTATGACAGGTGTTTGAAACATCTACTCCACACCAGTAGCAGACAAGATAATCGGCATCCGACCGATTACCCCTAAACATTGGGTAATACCCCCCCCCTCCACAAGTTGTGCAAAATCTTTTATCGTTTCGATCCATTTTGATTGTGACATTTCTGGCTTCGACACACCTATTTATGGCTCGGGAGGGGACGAGTCAAATGTGTTGGGACGATACCATTTTCCACCAATCAGAATAGCATGACGTCACAAAAAAACATGACGTCACAAGAAAAACAAACAAGTGATATGTTGTCGACATTTTATTGAACAAAACTTTTTTACAAATCAAAACTTACAAAGTTATCATGACAAAAGAAATCAAACGAAAACTTACAAACATTTTAAACAAAACATATTTACAGAGCAAAAAACCATCGACATCGTTGACCCTTCTTCTGTTCCTCTTGCAAGTTGGGAAAATGATCCCTAGCCCATTGTTCGACGAGTATATCGTTTACACGATACACGCGACCGAAAACGGAAAGGGGATATGGGGAATGAACGTGAAATCGATGACACAGAAAATACAAGCAATAATGTCCGCACACGACACTATCGAGCCCTTGAATCCATCTGGGTTGGTAGTCGAGTTGTTGATCTTGAACGAAACGTCGAAAGGCTTCTCCATAGATATCAGGGGTGGGGGGTGGGGGGGGGGGCAACCATAGGAATCAAAAAAGGTGACGTGATTTGGCTCTTCGCACACAAACACGGTCCAATGTTTGTCCGGTTGGTCTTCGTCGTCCGTGTTGATGACGTAGGCTTTGGGGTACGAGGTCGGGTGCAGTATATCCAGGTGATTACGAGCCCACACGCCCACGAAAATGGGAGCGGGGAGATGTTGTTTTAAAGCTCGTGTCAGTTGTCGGTTGGAGAGAGCCTTACCAATCGGTGATGACTTTCCGGTAGCGGTCGATTTCCAAGACATTGTCGTATTCGGCAAACAGAACAAGACTGGGGTGATTTGTCGGGGCCGCACCGAACTTGAGTACTAAATGTAGTTCACCTGTCTCTTTCGGATGAAAGTAGTGACCGTCGGTCCCGTGGTCGTTGGTCAAATCAAAACAATACAGGTTGTACCCATTAATATAGTCGTGAAAAGGGAGGTCCAGGTCTTTTCTGGTGTTTAAGACGGCCACCCTTTTCATCTAATCCAGGTAGGGTGCGATGGCTTGTCGCTGGGGAAAGTTCACGTCGTATTCGCTCACGATTCCCCCGTGCTTGGTCTGTTTGATGTTTTCCAATTGATTGTGTTCGAAATGGAACGGATTTCTGTTTTTCTTCCGTCGTGTCCGTGTTGCGCACCATCCCCACGATCAGTCTCCTCGGCAGGATTTCCTTGTCGAACAGATTACCTAGGATGTGATGAGTGCGGTTGTCGGGAATGACCATGTCTCGGACCACCACGCGATTCACGGGATACTTGGCCTTGGACGATAGAATTTGCTGTTCGATGCGTGTCTGGGTACTGGGAGCTAGTGTGACGAACGGGATATCCAGGTAGGCTTTGGTGAACTCGACTTTGTAGTCTTCTGCATCATTGCCTTCGCCGTACACCAGAAAAAATTTCGGAGAGTGTTTTTCCAAATTCAATCGCACGTCCACACCGCTAAGCAGATACCGATCTTGTAGACACATGTCCAAGTGTAGACGTAACTGTAGTTCAAAGGTGCAACAGGCAGCGATGACTTTCTGACGTTGTTCCAATCCTTTGTTATTCGGCGCCTGTCGTACACTGTCCACAGTGGTGGCGACGGATCTCGTGGAATCGAGCTGACCGGCGGTGTCTTACAGAAACTCAACAAATTCTCCAAGTAAGCCCGGTACGGATTGTTCGGCAGAGAAGTTATGACCAAGGTTTCGGCATCTTTTCCCAGACGTAATTTGACGTCTTTGAACAACGAATGAAACAGGTTGTTAACGGGTGCGACTTGACTGTCCGCATCCAGGTCACTCCCGTCGTTCTTTGTCACCTTCAGGGCCAGGTGCGGCGTCAAGTTGGCCAAATCCATGTAATCATCTGCAATTCGTCTCGCGCACAGGGACAGGAATCTTGAGTGTGTCGGACATCGTGTTGGACACCGCGGGCCGAAGCGTGTCCTGAGCGACTTTCTTCCAGTTCCATTTTTCCCGACCGCTGACGGTATCGAGCACGCTCTGTCCCACTTTGGGTAACACTTGGGCCACATTCTTTTTCACGGTCGCTTTGCCGGCCGACCACAGGGTCTTTTCCACCGATTTGACGGCATTCAACAATCCCGACCATCGCCCGGCACCCGGTTGTCGCAGAATTCCCCCTCTGTACATTACCAGACCACGACCGGCCCCTCGCTGTCTGAGTACTCCGCTTTTGTACACTTGAATCATCGTCGGCGACGGAAATGAAGTTGGACCATGGAGCCTGCATGTCGCCCACAATCTGAGGTTCGAAAATGTCCGTGTACAAGTAAAACAGATCGAACTGGATTTGAAGATTTGGGGTGTAGTGAGCGTAGTAAGGCAGGAGACTTTGGCCATCGTCGCCGGTCATTTCTATGGACTGCAGGGAAATCATCATTTCGTTTCCCGTCCATCCCAACATGGACACGATGGGTCCACGCAGACGAACATCGATTCTCGGCAATATGTCCAAATAGAAAAGCGCCTGCACGTGATTGATTTTCAGATACACTCTATCGTTGGTGTTGTCTTTCTTGAAAAAAAACGATGGAACCTCTTTGCACGGCCCCGTGACGCATTACCTCTCGTGTTTCGTAATCGCTCTGCTGTTTCTTCTCGTGGTCGGTCATTTCCTTGTTGTTGGGATCCACGCGGACAGGTTGATTGGCCAAATGATTGTAGATGGGAGTCAGATTCCACGAAAGCTTCGTCGGATGTTTTCTTTTTCTCTTTGTAGCGCCTGTAGAGTTCGAACGCTTCTCCGCACCAGTATCAGTATCGCTAACTGCGGGTGGTGCCTCTGGGCACATCGATGTTGTTGTCGAACATGCGACGGGCAACGGCTTCAAAGTTGTTTTCTGTTTGGATTTCTTCTTTGCACTCGAGCAGGCCGTGGCCGAGCTGTCCACAGTTGAGGCACTTGTGATTGTCGTCGGTGCGTCTCTTGACTCCGTAACACTTTCTTTTGACAGTGTCTTTTCTTTCTTCGTCACTCTTCGCTTTTTGGGCTTCGACTCGTTTTCCACGCTGGGATGCCCAGTGTCCTGGTTCTCAACAGAGGTAACAAATTCCATAGGAGCCATAAGCTGGTCTGTCTTGTCTTGGTTTTCGTTGCTGTTGTTGGGAACGAGCAGGGCAGTCTCTATACCAGTGTCCGACAGTGTTACAAGAGAAACAAGCTTGACTAGCCATCGAGAGCAGAATGAAATTTTATTCTGACACCTCGCTTCTTATAGTCTTGGCCGTGACGTCACTCTCTTTTGATTGGTTCTTTCTTTTCCTTCGTTTCTATTGGTTCGTGTCTAGTCTATGACTTCCAGGCTTTCCACGTACTTTTGAAAATCTTCCCAATCGATGACCGTGTTTTTGTCGCCATTGGTTGAACACGGTGAAAATTTGCATGCGCGCGTTGTTAGGATGACTCATCTTGACTTGACTGATCCGCGCTTCTCTGATTCCTAGATGTCTGCCAATACATTCCCAACCTTCTCCCAGCTTGCCGGACATGGCATTGATATCCATTTGATCCAGGGACCATCGTTTCTTTTTCTTCGGTAACTCGTCTATCCACCGTCGTATGGGATTCTCTTCGTCTTTGGGTTCGGGGAACTCGTCTTTGCGGAACCACACGCCAAAACTTTTTCAAGGCTTCGTCGACGTCTTCTCGCCATCGTTGTTCATCCTCCCACTTCTTGACTCGGTCCCGTGGATCGTCCATCATACCGTCTAGCACGCCATCGATTTCTTCTGGTTTCGGCTCCTCCACCCAGAGGTAGTGATTGTAATCGTCGACGGGATGTGAGGGTACGCCCGTTCTGGAACACACGCCCAATCCCAGAGACGAATGGTATCTCTGACTGGGGTGCTCGTACTTGCAACCGATACACTCCTCGCGTTGCTTTTCCTCTATGATGGGTAAATAACACTTGCTGACCCGAAAGTTGAGCCATCGTCGTCTTAGTTTCTCGATCAAATCCGTATTTTCTGCCGGTTCGTCATCTTCTCTGTTTGGTCGCCATCGTCCTGACACACGAAAGTCAGTATCCATAGGGGTAAGTGTTGATCGGTTGGCCATCGTCATTAAATTGAACAAAACGTTTGTCGTACACGATTTTATACCTTTTGTTTTCGGGGCGTGTCCAGAGACGTCGGTCACGTGATCTGGAAATTTTGAACGGATTGGCGATGACAAGCGGTTCGTTTTGATTGACGTGTCGTACGTTGTCTTTCATGATGTTGTAATTGAGTTGTTGGGAGGCACGATAATTCAGGGTGAATCCCTGGACCTTGCACACTGTTGTTCCATCACTTTGCTTGTACGCGTAATTCTTCGGCCCACCGCTGACAAATTTCCGAATGGTAACATTCTTGGGCAGCTCGTTCTTCCACTGGCCCAAACTAGAACCTTCTGGGGGATTCCATGACGTGGAGTGTCACAGACACTGTTTGTTTTGAGTTGAACTTAAATCCAATTTCTTTCTTTCAAATTGACTAAATGTGAAGTTGATGCGGATACAGACATATAACATGGCTTACCCAACAATGTCTAGTTCAAAGAAACAATTAAAATTTGGCTTACCATTTAAACATCTTGTGGTAGATGTTATTAAGATTATTACAAACAATGTTTCAGAAAGATCCATCCTCAATGCATTCAATACATTGCTCTTAGTACTCGGTTTTGTAGAATACAATAATGACTCAAGTAGTTTGTAAAACATAATATAAGTTATATAATATTATTCATGTCGCATCTGATTGGATTTGATATTCAATATTAATTACATTGTATACCCTACGGCCAATGAATTCAGTCAGTTTTTGGGTTAAATATTCTTTGTTATTTGATATAAAATGCATCCGTCTAGTAAATGTCAAGTCACAGTGTACTAGACACGTAGACCTATTTTGTAACACTACCCTTTCATTCGTCTACTAACAATTTAGCTGTCATAGAGTGTGCAATAAATAAAACTAAAATATCAAATTGTAGCTGATATGGAGATAACGTTTCAATAGAGATGTTTGTAACTGGTAATAAAATGCATGTCGTGTCTGATTTAGGGAATTTAAATCTTTGGGGATTCCCCTACTATTGTTTTCTGTTTCAAACTAAAGGCGATTTATTCGGATTTTGGTATACCTAATTTATTGTTTTGTGTGCAACATTATACGTTTTAACGTTTCCCCAGTCTCACAGCGATATATCACACTTTGGGTGTTCCAAATTCGCTTTACTTGTTCACAGCGTTTCTACACACGTAAACATAAATTACATTCTCTAAACCAAGTGGAACATCAGGTTTTGTGTGTCGAATTGTTTCCCATTATGTAAAACTGTATGAATCTGACACCACCTCTCCATTGTTACTCGTAAGTGACGCTATCCTTTTAAATAATGTACGTGCAACGCGCTAATCGAACATATTCTGTACAAAACGAAACATTGGCGATTTCGTTGATAGTTTCAGTTTGTTAAATTTTCAGTTTGTTAAATCGCTCTATAACAAGGCATTGCGTAAAATATTGATACAACACTAGGACTGATACAACACATTTCTGTATCGACTGGGCTAATACAGTAGGCTATTAGGCAAATCTTGGCCTACTCTTGTAAGAAATTCCAATTGTAATGGGTTCTTTTACGTCCACGCCATTCGTTTTCAGTGCTATTAGAGAAATCTTGCCGTACTCCTATTACGAATTCCAGCTGTGAAGGGTTCTTTTACGTGAACGCCAATCGTCTCAGTGTTATTGAGAAATTCTTGCCTTACGTTTATTACGAATTCATTTAAGAGTTTTGTTGCATTGATTAATACATACTCTCATAAAATACAAATTCTAAAGGTCATTTTTTTATTATATTTATCCGTGTTATTTATTGTCATCCGTCTTCATTAGCCCAGTTTAGGAGCAGAACAGTAGGACGTTAAACGCCATTTTATTTTCATTTCTATTTATTGTCATACCATGAAGAGCTATTACACCATTGAACACAAAATTTTTATTTCCACACCAAATATTTTAATTGGCTAAGCTATTTATGAACATAATTATATTTCAAGAACCCATTAAAGATTTCTCAATTACTTAACTTCCAAATCAAACAATGCCATAATATATATATATATATATATAAACACTTAGTTTACCCTTTTTTGTCTGATACGCAAAACCCCGATAGGCGGTGGACCTGGGACCTGGGACCCAGGCCCCACTTCTCACCATCGTCAATCCCGTACTGGTCCAACATGAATAACATTACCCGGTTATACGTCACAATACACCATATGTAATTACGTTATACATAACATGTGATAACGTTTTATTGTAATAATTCAGTAAAGAGAGACCAGGAACTTCCCCAGATTTTAGACTGGTCGAGATTTGTAAAAACTGACCCTACCTTGAGATCGTGGGCTATACGCACTTGGGTAATTCAATTATACCAATCTTGAATACCTCTAATGTAGAGGGTGACTAAGTGGGATACGGATCCCATACACTTTGGAGGAGTTTGATATATGAGCAGAGGCCCTTAAACTACATATAGGATCGGGGTGGGGTGGCTTCCGATCAGTTGGTTAAAGCGTCCAGGTTGCTATCCTCTTAGGTATGAACATCCACATGGTTGTTTCCATTCATCAATAAGGGACAGGTTGTATCCCATAAATGTTAAATGAAATGGGATTCAGCGTCTTACCGATTAGGCCAAATTCGGTCATTTTAAGCGCCCAGGTTGCTGTCCTTTCTGATATGAGAATTTCCGTGGTTGTTTCCATTCATCACTAACGTCAGCGTTCTATGAGGGAAATTTTGTCCGGAAAGCGACTTTAAGGTCTACTCTCATATCGAATTCCAAATGCCTTGGGATATTGTACGTGCACGCCAATGTATACCCGGGATCTCAATATTTTGAGCAAACAGTTGTTCTTATCAGACCTCGGTTCTGCACCACTGACCAGAGAAACCCACGTCGGAAAATCCAAAATGAAATTTCTCGGCCAACGCCGGGAGCGAACCGCGTCCTCCGGGCTAGCCATCGTGGCTCCCCACAAGCGTTAACCCGGCCCCGTGTCATACGTATTTTCAAATATATGTGTCATGTATGCAGGTTTTATACTGTCTATTTATATGAGTGCTCTGAATATATTTCTGTTCATATTGTTGTACCCGTCCAAATATTTGTACTTGTATTTAATATTTTGTATATTGTATATGGTGTCCTCAAGGGAGGTTCCGATGCAACACTGTTTGTCCTGTTGTTATAATTGTCATATTGGTATTATTTTATGTACATGTTTATATTGTATGGATGTTTCGATACAATGAAAATCTTATCTATCTATGTACTTTACAAAGACAATGCGAGTTTAAGTGTAACAATGAAATCAATCCGTGACGCTACTAATTCTTATTCTACTACAGCCCACAATGAATTATCTGTCATGTACAATTATTAAACATAATGTGGATCAGTGATATTGGAGCGCATGCGCTAAATACGCAACAACGCATGGTAGTTCAATTAGCTGTATCGTGAGAAATAGACATCCTTGTATATAAACATGCTTAACAAAGATACGTAGCCGCGGTTTGTCAGTGAGTGTGTGGGGGGGGGGGTGTTAATCTTGAAGACCTGGGTTCGATCCCAGTCTTGGCCCCGAAATTTCCACGGGAGTTTCAGACGCGTTGCTGCCTTAGTCAATGGTGCATAATAGGGACCTGGCAAGCACATCGCCCATTTGTTTGGATGAAACGAAGACATGAGGCCCCATGTACACGTTGACGTGGATGTAAAAGTATCTTTAACGGATAGAATTCGAATAATGCCAGGGTAAAGTTTCCTTAATAACCATAAAACATGGTATGGCCTATGCCCGTCTTCATTAGTCCGTAGGTGCAGAACGTGGAACGTTGAAACATATTCATTCATGCATGCGAAAAGATACTTGTTTGCATAAAGACACAAATATCGATGATCACTAGTTCGTAAAAATTGGATTTAAACCCAAGGGGTCTCAGTGACTACTGTTATTGGCCGAGAAGGTCTCTTAAGATTGTCTGGAGTAGTTTCCCCTTGTCCGTGGACTGCATGGAATGAGAACCTGACAAGGGCAGGGTCTAGTCGTTCGCATGGTACTACAAACCGGGGTCCCGTGTACACATTGGTGTACGCGCAAACGAGCATTTAACAGTAGGAATCCCGAATTAAGAATGACACGCTGTATGGCGTAAACTCTTCTTCATTTGCCTATTGTGAACACAAACGTAAGATGTTAAACCACTTTTCATTTCACTCGGTGGCGAAGTTGAATAAATGACCTTTCCATTTCATTGTTATTAATGGGTTTGATGCGTAGGCAACGATTTCATCGAAACTCTGTATCGTGGTGCTTTTAATGCTTTTAAAATTGTGAGTCCATTTGACCTTTGACACTGTGAGGTATATCGATCAAATTGTGAGTAAAGTTGACCTTTGACATTGTGAGGTATATCATAGAGGATATAAATATGTAATAATATAAAACACAATTGTATGCATTAACTAAGCTCTGAATTTATTGGCACACTAGGTACGTACAGGCAATGGTATCAAGTCAATGATTAACAAATGAAAAGCGAGACAATATCTATGCAACAAGTGTAAATTGAAAGCAATGAAGAAACAATACTAGGGCATTTAAATGATAGGAGATTAAAGCAGGCTGGACAACAATCGGATTAAAATACAGATCGATATTTCGTTTCGATTTTTAAACTTTCGATGGCCTACACTACATAAAGATCTGACCGGTTTTAGCGATAGGTCACGTCAGAGGCCATACGAGCGACTTTTGACCCTTTGACGTCAGACATTTGATTAACCAATCAGCATTGATGTTACTAGTGGATTACCCACAGTTCCGTGCAAAACACGCCTAAAGCTCGTCGTAACAGACCGTTTAATTGGCTAATACCTCACACCATTCAGAATGATCAATCTCTTTCACAGAGGATTACAAAAGTCTTCTAATATCTATGTAAAAGATGACTACCTTCAACACGTGACGTCTCATTAAGCTGCGTCAATCATTGGCTCAATGGCGCGTGCATTGTTTACATAAGACGTTACTGGTTCGGACAGAATGTTGACTTTTACCCATTTTAATACCCATTTACACTAAATAGGAAATAATTTTTACCTACAAATACGTCAAACGTCTTTATTTATTTTTCTAATACATAAAAACAACGTTTAAGAATTTAATTTGTCGGAGGAAAAAAAAGTTAATATTTTTGGCTCATTAAGTTGCATCGATGTCATCCTTATCAGTGATTGTACCGGCCTAGCCAATATTCACTGCTGATCAGTGAAACGAAAGTAAAACGAAATTTTGAACTATAAAAACGAAACGCAATAGGATCTGTGGTTTAATCAGATTGGCTGCACAAAGTACTACACAGGATATTATTGATATGATTTTTTTGCTTGACGCTACCCAAGTTTTCATTAACATTTCGAGTACAAAACTTTTGATGCCTTGAATCAGTAGATATGTGACACCCCCCCCCCCCCCTCAACATATTAAAAACCCTTAAGTAATGCTTTGGGGAACATCACGGGCGTATAAATAATTTTGGAGATTAACCAGCTTCACTGGCAATTGACAAGAAACCAAAAAGCACGGTGTGCATGAGGTAAATGATTACACATGCTAATAGTAAA